TTTTTGTATTTTCTGATCGCAAGATCAGTAAATACATAGCTAACATCCACGGTCTAACACAAAATTTCCTCACAGACCTAACAACGCAAAGTAGTTCTCACTCAAAACTGCTTAAAAACCAGCAATTTAAAAAAATAATAATTTTTAATGTAGGCATTGAACGAATTACAGTGCATTAAAAGTTTACATTAGTCAATAGAAATATGAGGTTACAATCACAAATTTCGCGGATGAATATCTTTTTTACCCAATGAAAAATGTTCCACTATTTCCGTAAAGCTTAATCAATGAAAATGCTATTTTTAGCTATGTCGATTACCGAATACTCCAGAGCGTAGCACACAAATAAATCTGACTGTCGAGTAATGGAATATATGCATGTCGGACTGTTTTGGCGAGAAGATTTTCGCTAAATTATTTTCATCAGTGTTTAACAACAGGTTTATCGTGAACAAAATACCTCGAAATAAATAAGGATTACAAATACGAAATGAAAATTCTCAATTTTAGAATTACAAAAAATTTGTTTTTATTCACGCTACATACGTATTACTTCACTGTGGTGCAGAGGTAGCGCGCTCGTTTAGGGTGTGAGAGGCCTGAGGTTAAAATCCTTGTCGAGGCAACATTTTTTTTGAAGTGGCTTTTTTAAGGAAGTTGCCACGATATGCAAGGATAAAGTGTGGCTGTAATAAAAAATGAAAAATGATTTTTGATGCAACTCTAAGCATGCAAAATTCCATATGTATCAATCACAAACTGCATGTTAAACGCAGTCCCTGCGTAAGATGAATAATAGTATATAAAAATAAACTTATACAGGAATGATCAGAAAATACCACAGAGCATGCAGCCCTTTGATTTGCATTTGCTAAATGTTGCTCTCTATTTCTTTTGTAACCGTGGGTGGACGAAAATAGAGATGCCAAAAAATGAGAAAAATGGCGGGTTTTCTGAATTAATGTTATAGACAAATAAGAAAATATTGAATAAGCGAACATATTTTTTTTTTAAACCGTGCACGATGAAAGAGAATTATAATGTAAATAAATATATGAACAAAACTGGGGACCACGTTCCTGCATTTTCAGTTATCTGCCAGCTACACTATTACTAAAATTTTCAAGAGCCGATAACTAAAGAAATAACAATACCGAAGTCTTATTTTATTTCAAATTATATGTTCAATCAGTATGCAAAGTTTAAAACAGTTCTACACAGAATGTTTTTTGATATGCTACAATAAGTAAGCAATTTTCGTAAAAAAACATAGGAATATCTTGAAGAAAATGTCTACCATTTCGCATAAACAACTAAATGTATGCATAGAAAAAAATCTGTAGCATAAATTTAGCGAATGTTTTTCATGTCGGGGAATATAGATCAATATAAACAATTACTCTATAAACACAAAAGTGAAATCAAATTAGTTGTTGCATGCTACAGTTTTGAGTTATCAGCTCATGAAATTGGTCTTAAGCAAAAAATCAAAATGTCTGATCACTAGTTAATTCTTTTCATTTTGCGTATGTAAAAATGGAGAAACTTAAGGTAATGCCTTATTTACACGGGAAGGTGCACATTGGTGAAGTTATTACCGACTGAAGGTTTTCGGCTTATTTTTGGAGACAGAATTATTACGTATAGTCAAGGTGTTGAATTCATAGCAAATACGACATCAGTTATGTTACGTATAAGTCAATAGATTGTTTGTTTGAAGAGTAGTATGTATAATTATGTGCTTATATTCTGATATGAACGTATGTGGTTTATTTACGAGTTATTATCCATCCAAGGATCATATAAGTATGTCTATATAAATAAAATAAGGAATAATAGGTGGGAAAATACCTTGAGCACGCATATCGCTGGGCTTTCTTTGCCATTCAATTTAACAATCTGTAAAAGTTAAAGATGCTATCTAATAGTTTTGTAATATATATCATTATATAATATTAAAGTGACACCGTTTGTAATACGTACTTTTATTTAATTCAACAGAACCATCTCAACTTTGATACACTTTAGTAACATCTGAATGTCCAGCGTATACTTACCTAACTTTATCAGTTTAAATTCCAAGATCACCGCCTCTTAGTTAAACCATGTGTGAGTTGTCACATTTTTATTTATGTAACCTAATCTTTATCTCTTTCATAATTAATGTAAATCAATAAATTAGGTGTTACGAAAAAGAAATTCTACATAATTCAAATTATAAATGTGTTTTTTGTATAAATTGTATTCAAACTGTCATGTCTGTGCATAAATCACTGGCGTAGGTTTTGCTAGACCTAAAACTTTATCAGCACCGAGTGCATTAGTTAAAATACAGAAGAAATTTTGACGTTTTTTTTAAAACGGAATTTTGGCTGCCCTGGCATCTGCGGACAAAAGAAAAGGTAAGTGGTGATTTACATTACTCATTATCGTATATATTTTGGTTATCTGAAATCATTTTCTTTTTTGTTTTATAAGCAATGCGAAATATAGTAACAGTTCAGTTAATAGTGGCACTATTAATTCGCAAACAGTCTGTTAAAACTTAACTTAAATCTCTATTTAATGCATTAATCTATGAAATGATTTTTCATCGATAAATGACGTTTTCTCACATTGAAAATGTTACATTCAGTTTTAAAAAACAACACCTTTTTGCTAGATGTATTAACCGATATATTAAAACTATTCTTTCGCGTTTCATAGAAAACCCATAGACTGAAATTTAAATACTAACTTACGTACGGCATGACTCTTTCCATTTCTGATGAGCAATGCAGCTGGGTAATACCGGCAATTTCTAGGAGAACGCATATTTGTCCCAAGCACTAGGTCACAGTGGCACATGCTTATTATACAAGTCACGAAAATGCGCATTTGTTTTCATTTTACATACCGGTATATATTATCATTTATTGTGTATAAAATGCTTTGTTCGTAACGAGTAAGGAGGTCTTATATAATGAGGAAAGATCGCTTTGACGGTATTTCAAGTTATTTTCTTGCAAAAAAGTATACACGTTGAGATATTTTCCAAAAACATGTCGGGTGACTGTACTTCACATTTTCATCTGTTAGATATAGCTATTATAAGGTCGCCTCCAGTGGATTCGCGATAATGTGATATATATTATTTAATTTTCAACTAGACTCATTGATTTTATGAAAAATTTGCTCTTTATAGTCCCACAGAACGTTTTGTTTCCACAAGCACACAGTAAAACAGGATGTCTTACAACATTTTGTTAGAAGATATGATACGAGATTTGGGCGGTTGTGGTCGATTTCAGTGGGTCACATCAATCATTGGCCAGTCTTCAAAGACTATAGCCGCTTGGAGCATGCTTGCCATGACTTTTAACGGACAACAGCCGGACTTTACGTGCTCGAAGCAGAGTGAACCAGTTACCATGTCAAGTAATGCGACTTTTGATAATGTCTGCCACCCGGAAAATAGTACGGATTGTAATGGATATGTTTTTAGTGACGACATGAATACAGTTGTCAATGAGGTATAGATGCTTTTATCATTTATAGCGCCCGTATGTCACTTTTAAAAAGGCTCTGGTTATTATGCAAGACTGAAAATAAAGGAAGTAATTTTCATCTCTTTTTTTCTATTGCTTTAAATGCATTCCGAGTAAGCCAGATCATTAAGGTAATACAGTAATGTTTACAGATAACAATAAGCAAAAAATATATTCAAAATGTTTAGTGCATAACACAAGATAGTTGACAAACAAGCAATGTTCCATAAACGAACTAACTAATTTAAACGGTCTCACCTACATAATTTGCTTTTAATATCCGTACCCTTTAATTATATAAGGTATCTATTATTCTTTCAGTTTGGGAAATTTTTCGTGATACAAAAAGGGTAGCAGCGTTAACACAAAATAAGATGCCCGGGTTTTCTAGGGGGTTGTTCTTTTCCCGGGCCATCTTCCGATTACTTGGCGGAAACCGACGTTCTTTTTCTTTTTTGATTTTTGTTTTCAAGTTGTAGCGACTTTCATAAACTGGAAAAATGTACGGGGCTATAAATTCTTTTCTTGGAGGGGTAATATTTTTATTTTTTCTTTCCATCGTACGAATTTTAAAAAAATGAACCAATTGTAGTCTTTTCTTAAAAATTTCTAAATATACAACTTTTTATGTATATAAAAGTTTTTATTGAGTAAATTGTCGCACTTTCAATTTAATTTAGGAAATTTTTTAAAAGTAGCCAAAGGGAAATTTCCCAAAACCCAGATGTGCGTTGTTTCAGACAAAAAGGGTTTGCTTTAATCTCTTGAACGACAAAAATAAAGATTACATCTAAGTTATGTGACATTTATGACTTAAAAAAGAAATACTTTTTGATATGCACCCAAAAAGAGAAAAATTCCTCCAGTATTTTAATTGCTACGCTAAAATGCAGCAAAAAAAATTGCCCTTTGGTACATTTGCTGCAGAAAAACTTTTTGGCCCCACTGATAAATCTTCGGGGTTAACGGGGGTTTGTTTTAAATTTAAATTTTTACACTATTATCATTACAGAGTTAATAGAACTAAAAAAAATACTGTTTACCTTCATAGTATCGGTTTTTTTGACTGTCCTTTAAACTTTCATACCGAATTGCGCTCAATGGGTGGCGACCCCGATTTGCTTACTAGGGGCTTTTGGGCGCGGTTTTTTTGCTTGCAGCATGGCTCTTGAAAGATTTGGAAAACTTGATCTGTACTGCTGAATAGGATTTCCTTTTTTATCACTATTTGTAGTGAAAACAGTTTTTTTATACGTTAATGATCCATAAATTTTACTCTTTCTTGTGCGTTCACAATTTTCTTCGCAAATGTACGTGATCATAAATATATAAACAATGATGGGTAAAGGTTGTCATTTTAATTTCGTAAGAAAATTTGAAGATTTTTGTGTCTGTTTAAGTTTGAGCTAACAGCTTTGAATAATTTACAAAGTAATCTTTTAATGATAAGCATTTAATTATTTTTTTGATGTATTTACATTATGCAAAATGAGTTTTTCTTAACTATCCACAGTATAGTTCAAGAGAGTGCTAGATGGCTTGTTACAAAGGGACGCTACAAAGAAGCTGAAAAAGTTATTAACACAATAGCCAAAGTAAACGGTAAACCGGCACCAAACACAAGTATACTGATGGCGGAAGCCGCAAAGAGTGACTCTAATAAAGCATCGGTTCACTACACAGCTTTCCACCTCTTTAAATCAAAAGAAATGGTTATAACAACAAGTGGTCTCCTTTTTATATGGTGTGTATCTAATTTTGATGGTCCTTCGTGATCTTTGATCCATTTCATTCAGTGTTGAAGTTTGAATTCTGCTATTTAAAGACGGTGCCTTGAGCACGAGGTCTATTGCTCTTTCCACCAGTCTCGGCAAAGTCGTGTTTGCGATGTTTAACTATTTATCCAGATTTTTTTTAAATATCTAAACAAACCCACGATATATTCATTTCATAATTAAAGAAATGATATGAAGCATATTATAAATCATAAGGAAATCAACCATTTATTTTATATTTTAGTGCTAAAAGGTCGTTTTTTACAGCCAGAGAAACTGTATTAGCTTAGTATTGTTCTCAACCATGTTGAATGACCTCTTTATATTTCACACCACAATATTTTTATAGGATGTCAATTAGCTACTCTTACTACGGATTGACGTTTGGCGTGAACAGTTTGGCGGGAAACTTGTATTTAAACATGTTTCTGATGAATATAATAGAAACACCTGCCAGTTTCTCCATCATGTACATTGTCAATAGGTAAGCAGTAAAAACATTTCTTTATATATTTCTTATATTGGATATGTAATATAACAATAAAAATGCGCAATCACGAGGTCCCGAATCAAGATTGTCTTAACATGTCACAAAGAGAAAGAAATTTATTAGGAGTGATTGCTTTTTAAATATTACCGTTCATAAATTGTACATAATTATACACTTCATGTAACAATCAACAGCATAAATATTCCCTTCTAACTAAAATTATGATTGAGGATCAAAAGTACGATTTCTAATCGTAAACACCAATGGTAACTGCTAAAATATTACTCCAACAGTGATAATTCTGTGCTTTCAGATTTGGGCGGAAACACTGTTGTATGTTTTTCTTTTTCTTTACTGGGCTATGTGGTGTAATTGTTGGCATCATACAGTACATAGGTAAGTACAAATGGTATGACGGAGTGGGAAACGCCTTAGATTTCCAAATGTGCAAAAGTATATTTTTTATCTATCAATTCGTTTAGTTGTAATGTTAACGAACAAAAGTCGTACAATATAAGACAAAAATAAGACGAACAAATGTATATTTTATACAAATAAACAAGTTAGAGGTTAACAAGAGAATATAGAAGAATAAGAAGAACTTTCATTTGTACTAAAGCCCTAAAAAGAGCCATTGACAAAAGCATCAATATATATTCATACAAAAAATAGAAACATGGCAATACCTGACAAGAAGTCGAGATGGCATGTGTATTCACGGGAAATAATTCTTTGGAAGCACCACGTGCGAACGTTCAGTGCATAAAATGGTGTTTGATGACTCGTACGTGAAGTTTCACATCAAAATTGAATATGTGGTATTTTCCGTAATCATAATATTATATCATTTTAGACACTCCTCACCGTGGCGTAATCACAAACGCATTTGCTCTGGCGTCCAAAATGGGTATAGCAGTTGGATGGGGTTGTCTAATAGTTTATACCACGGAACTCTATCCGACAGTCGTCAGGTAATTGATACAAGGGCTCAAATTAAATGAATTGTTAGTCGTGATCGAAGTTGCTTCACATGAATGCAATTTGTTATGCGATTTTTTTTAAAGAACAGCCGCATTTGAAGGAAATTTCATGTCTGATAAAATATTACTTTTATTTCTAGAACAATTGCATATGGTCTTCACAACACATCAGCAAGAATTGGTGGAATTATAGCACCTCAGATTGTTTTCTTGGTATTTATTCATTTTATTACTATCTTTTTGTGAGCTATTCCGTTAAGTATGACACAATATGTATGATTTATTCATAAGTATGCGACAAAATACAACATACTAGGTACATGCATAAGTTTGATATCCACATATAGCCACATAGTTATACTTTATAGGCTTATCAGTTGACTGCATGAGCATGTTCAATGATCATCACCGTTGTCGTCCTCATTATCAACATCATTGTCATCATCATCATCATCATAGTAATTAATATTTACGTCGCCCTAAAGTAATCAGTCATTAAAGTCGATATCACACGCACAGCACCGAAATTCCAATGTCTTAGAAAGTCTTTTCCATCATGAATCCTTAAGCTTGAGAAACTTATCCTTTACAAGAAATATCTATAATTACAATGTATTAAACTTTCTTTATTTTAGTGATTGGTAATCGCTAACTATACCACCCCATGACGCTTCATAGTGACAAAAACGTATCTTAGGTATAATTTAGTTTATAATTAAATATTTGTCTTGTTTTCAGAATGATGAAATCCCTGGTCTGATGTATTTTGTAAGTGCTGTGCTGATGATTTCTAGCAGTCTTATTTGTTGCGTGTTTCACGATACCACTGACAAGATACTAGAGGATACGTTTAAAGATACTTCAAGTGAACAAAGTGTGACAGTCAACGCATTAAACATGAATGACAATGACAAAAAATCAAAATTTTGATATATTTATGACATATGTGATATATTATTTCTGAAAACTTTCGAAAATGAATAGTTGACAGATCAAACCGGCACGGAAATAATTGAAAATAACAAAAAATCAAAATTGTGATTTATTCGTGATATCCGGAAACTTTAAAAGTTTACTTTGGCAAGAAGTCGACCATATGTATGTAACGTTTGAGCTTCGATGTTTCATAGTATAGTACTGGATCCTATATCTACTGTAATAATTAACGAATTTGTTTACAAAATGCAGACCCCTTTGTTATGGTTATGAGTTCTGTGAACGTCACCTTTGCCTCGATGATCTTTAATTGTTCTCACTTTTCCCAGCTTTTTATCAAATCATTTACAGACATGAACCGATTCAATTATAAACAACATTTACCTCTTGACAATTATTCATGTTTCTGTAACATACTAAATATACAACGTTATCGATCACCAAACATACACAATATAATTCTAATACCTACACATATGCAATCAAACTATAGTTTTGATGTACTTGTAAGTGGTGTAATGTTAAATACATAAAATGTCGCGAATCCTTGATCATCATAAAGTTTCCAATTATGATTATTTGTCAAAGGGACACAAGAAAACATACATTTCGTATTCATATTTTTATTGTAGTACATTCAAACTTGAATATAAATATTTAAACACTTAATTGTAGATCTATAAAAAGTTTATATAATTTATCTTATTACATTACAGCTGTGCAGTTCAATATAGTGCAAGTTATATATTTTTTCCAAGGTTATCTTTACGTTATATATACACAACATTTTTTTTCCCAAGGTTGTCTATACGTTATATATACAACATCTTTCTGATAATTACCCGGAAACGTATACCATAAATTAACGTATAGCCTAAAAATGCATTTATGTATTCAGAACTTCCGAAACTAGTCTTTCTCACACCTGTATATGAATTTCAACTGTTTGCAGTTGTTGATTATATCATTGTGTTATATCATTTTTTGTTGATAATAATGTTAATAAGATGGAGCACTCTTAGAATCTGTCCGCAGTTAAGTCAATGTTTTGTAACCGTAACCCTGACCTCTCACCCTTACTCATAACACTTACCCTTAATCGTAACCCTAGAAGTAATTTGAATGATTTTAGGAAACTTAAATTGTTAAATATTGAAGAAATAATTTTGTGTAAAATGTTTAAAATAGCTGCGGACATATTCTAAAGTCTAGCCAATAAATTCATTAAATAAATCGTGCATATAATTACATACAATTATTGTTTTTGTCTCTTCTAACAACTTATAACAGGTCCGCGATTGACTCTCTGAGCACTTTTAATGAAAATTACATTTAGTTGCCACAGGTCTAGAAGAATATATAGATAATTTTAACAAATTGTTAAGATAATATAGCAATGACAGTATGCACAACAATTATTCTGAATATTCCTTAAGTTCGTCTTGTTAGTTTAAAGTGTTACATACTCCTTAAAACTATTAAAAGCTACAACACATTTCTGAAAATCTTGGACATGACTTTACACCATCTTATCTGATTATCTGAATTAACAATGTCATATATCAATTTCACAGATCGATTTTCAGTTTCACATATCAATTTCAAATTCCAATTTCACATATCAATTTCACAGATTAATTCACATATCAATTTCACAGATTAGTGGAAGAGCTTAATTGAACATCTTTGTTTTTCTCCAGATTGTCCTCTATCTTAACTTCAACATTGAGCATATCTTCTAACACAGCATCTTTAGTTTCCCTATACAACATCATGACTACAGCCGAGATCATCATTAAAACACCACTCAGAAAATATAAAATCCCCGGTATATCATCGTCCTTAAATATAGAAATAGCGATTCTTAAAAATATCAGTGTTCTAAAGATAATAAAGTTTTAAAAGTATCTAAAACCCAAGGTGTATCAATGATCAAATTCGGATAAATACATACGCTTTAAAAGAATCCGGATATCTATTTAAAGAAATTATAACGTCATAGGAGAAACATGGTCATAAAAAGGTGACAGAAATGAGAATAAAAAAGTACTAAATAATGAAACAAACAAATTCAATGTGGTAAAGTTAACAAAGCCATGAAGGCTTTCAATGAAAACAAAGAAATCGAAGAGAGTGAGCACATTTACTGTATGTATAAAATACCTGTTCATTGACTTACAAGGAAAACAATTTGTGGTGCGACCATTCCACCAACACGAGCAGCTGTGCTATGTACTCCATATGCTATTGTCCTGATAGAAATAAAAATAAATACATATACTTTTATTCATCTAAAAACATCTGTGCATAAATAACTTACATGTATTCAATACCGAACATTCAAAGCGAATTTGTTGCGTCAAAGTTGTACTTGTCCATCACACTTTTCAACGCATTTATTTCGGTATTCTCTAATTAGCAATGTACTTTTTTCTTGTAGGATTTTGACTTGAATTGCAGTCTGGACTGCTTCTTTGCACAGAATTAACCTCCGTGATGTGCTTAATGGGAATAATATGTTTCTCATTTTTAATCTATATCAAAGTGGTTTATTATTTATTTATTTGAGTCTATTTGAACTATAATGTAAGCATAAAACAAGTACTGACCTTACAACAGTGGGATATAAACATGTACTGACCTTACAACAGTGGGATATATCTCCGTTGTATATACTATCATAGCTTGCCAACCACTTGCAACGCTCAACTTTGACAAAAGTGCAATAACATTTGTGAGAGTTCCATTTACTGGTAATGCTGAAGTGAACACAAGAAACAAGTTTTATATATCAATATGTCCCTGAAAACAACAAAATTATATCAATACAGAAACAACACAAGCAAAATCTATTATAAAGATTTATTTGTTTCGGTATTATAAACATTAAATAACACTTCACATTGAAACTCAAAGAAAAGCAGGTCACAGCGCTGTCTTGTTTTTAACTTATTCAATAAATTATAGTATTCTTCCAAATTTGAATACAAATTATAAGGAAGGCCGACCATTCCCTTTACATAGGCTGATAAGTCGTCTACTATTGTTCAAATAATAGTGCATTTCAATGATGCCTTGCTAAAACTAAAAAAAAATAGGTAAGAAAAACTCCAATTAAAGATGCCAAAGGTGAGTACTGGAAGGAAAATTATCTTATTTCATCCTTATGTGCGTATCTATTTCAGAGGCTTTGATAAATTTGAATAAAGCCCTCGTAATTAGAAATCTATATTACTGATTTATGGTTTATCATTGCATGAAGGGTATTAATTTATCTTACCAAAGTGCTGTATTACACCGACACTAATACCGGACACACCAGCCAGAATGTAAAATGTAAAACACACCTTTTTTCTGCCAAACCTTTGAAATGAGAAATAAAACTTAATCCTTCAAGCAATATTGGCATAATTTTGCTAGATACAGATCAACTCATGATTACAAATACTCACCTTCAATGACATTTCATTTATTCTTCTATCGTTATTATTTTTATATATTAGTCTTCCGACAAACAAGCCAACTACAACTAGGTAAAAAACTAACAAAATTATTTTGTTATATACAATGAAAAGAAAGAAAGAAAAAGTTATGTTTATTTTATATTTATGTTGAACGACTTTGCTTTTATTGAAGATAATCACTATCATATTTGACATGTTGCGTGACTTGTCCAGCTGGTCTGCTTTTTTGTACATATAGCTCCGCGATCCATATGGTTGTAAAGCTGATTGTACGTTCAAATAGACTGATACTTGTTAAATGAATTTTATTCTTTACCAATTTCATCATACTTTTCATCATATTCGTAGATTCTCCTTCCCGACTTTATTTTATTTGAACATCAATTATTCCGTTTTCCTCGTGAAATTGGTTAATCTGGACATTATGATATTATAAAACAAGTGTTACATTCGAAAATTCAGAATCATATCATGTGCTTTAGACCATCAAAGTACGAAATGTTTTCTTGTGACCATTGATAACGATATAAAAGCATTCAGTGTAACCTTACCGGACATTCTTGACGAGTAAGGTCGCAACTGTAAGAAAATCTTTGTACGAGGACTGTACATTACCTCTCCAAAGCTTTACCCTAATATGACAAAATGGATGTTTTAAAATTTATATGCTTATTACCAGTTCACTAGAAATGCCGTAAGAACCATAACAGGTGTCTCGACAACGTTTATAAGAAACATATTCATATATAAATCACCAGACAAACTTTTCACACCAAACGTTATACCATAATATCCATAGCTAGCTGCAAACCTGTAAAACAAAACATTATTTTATTTTAGCTATAGTTGAATCTTTACTGTATCAAACACGTGAACAACAAAAAAGAGAAAAAAAGTTGTAGCATATTATTTGTGGTACATGAAAGCATAAAAAGGACTTATAATATTGATGTTTATATAGGTCGTGGAATATATATGGGTATATGAGAGATTTTTTATTTCTTTTCTGATTACAATTTTATATTGCTGAGTAATATTTTAACTTGTTTAATGTTTAATCTTAAAAATTCGAAGTTGTAGTAGTTTAATATAATAAATTTTTTTGATAAACTTAAACAACCATTTTGTAAAGTACATTTAAAATGTTACCATGCAAACAGTAAACCAATTGTGATCTTTGTACTCTCTCTTGTCCGGAATAAATCCAGAAAGGAGTAATGTTTTCTTGTATCGTCTTTATCGGTATTTATTTTCGCCTCAGCAAATATTTTATCAAGTGATGGCTGATCTGCCTTGTTGACTTTCGCAATAAAATTGACAACAGTCTGTGCTTTTTTGAACCGTTGTTTTGTAACCAACCAGCGGAAGCTTTCTGGCATTATCCTGAATAAATATAATGATCAGCATCACATTTTATGCTTTTTTAAAAATTATTTTTTACATTTCCCCACTTTGAAATATATCACAAAAAATCTCAGATAATTCAGTTATGTGTCACGGTATAATATTACTTATCAATAATTAAGTGTGTCAGTTGACAGGTAACTTAGCCGGTAGAGTTGCGGAAGGGTATTCCGAGGGTTTCGGGTCGAATCCTGGCCAGAGGTCTCATTTACCTTATTATAAGGCGCATTTTTTGCAATAAAGAACTATATAGATTAAGGAACCATAACTTTTATTTGTTTCAAACTATGTGGTTTTCTTCAGTATTCACGGACACTTCTATTTTCTTGTTAAGTATTTGACCTACGTTTTGACTTAAATTTGATATTTTCTTACTGTCTTTTCCCCCTGAACTGTTAAAAACAGCGTATTTATGTATCAATGTATTCATTTAAATATCGCTTCTACTTGGAGTGTCGCTTCTTTTTTGATAAACCAATCAAAAAAGAAGGATAACGACTTTGTCAATGAGACGGTAATAAGAAAAATAACAACAAAAATAAAACGTTTTTAACTACAACAGGAACAGTTGGTAGATCTGCTCTTCGTGTTTAGCTTCAGAAATCGTATAATGTTTTTTTCTTCTTCTTTTTTTAGCGTCTATCTATTGCTTTATGCCACATATACATTGTTTAAGAACATAAACAAATTCAAATTATTTAAGTTGGTTGAGGAATATCCTTGTGCGAAAAGTGTTGCTTTCTCGACTGAACGACGATCGATTCATCGTGAGCTGCCTGCATCGGTTTTACATATTCACATTGTCTAGTTATTAAATTCTATCATTTTTTACTATTTATATTGACAAAAGATGCAATTTTAGACGATTATTAATTAAGTTAGTAATTTACCATGTTCATAGAAAATATTTCGTCTTTATGAATTAGCCAAGTTGTAAAACGTAAACAGTAAAATTTGTTTCATTTTGTTTATTCGTTAAAAGATGGGAAATGAAAGAAAAAAAATCCGATACTTACCACCATGTAAATAAGAAGGGAGTGCCAACACAAGCAATAGCCAGATGAATCTTTTTCCAATCATGTAATCCCCACGCTACCAAGGCAAAAAGACTGGCTTCAGTGGCCCAGGATGGTGTAGTCACTATTGGTGGCCGCCATTTGGCAGAAGCAAACTCATTAGTAAAACTGTATTGTACAGTAAGATAGAAACCGATGCCTATACCAATGAGAAATCTCAAGGCAGAGTAAACTTGCCACGAAGGTGAGAAATAACCAGCTATATTGAACACAACAGTAACCAAAATAGCAATGAAATATGTCGGTTTCCTGCCAATCATATCAGCCAGATGTCCTGAAACTAAGCATCCAAGAAGTACTCCAGCCATCTGTATAGTTGTGATTGTTGCTGGGATCCATTTCTTGTCACAGACGAGATCAAACTAAGTATATCAAATATACATGTACAGAACTTCATAATAAGCCAAATAAATTTATCGAATTTTATTGAATTTTATTGTCTCGTTATCTTATTTTTCTTTTTACATTCTAGAATATCAATGGTAGGACACTACGTCGAGCACCTGCAAAATGCTCCCAATCGGACTGTTTTTTTTGTTGACTCGAAGATTAAATGTTTTTTTTTATTCTAATAAATCGTTAGAATATCAAAAATGAATGTAGCGCACTACAATTGGTGTTACTGTCTGATTTAAGCCTGAAAATGGGATACATTTTGTTTGAGGGTCCAAGTGTGAGCATTTTGGAAAAAAAAACTTTATTCCGTTTTCAGGACTAAATTAGTCTGTAAAACTTTAAACGTCTTTTAAAAGTATATCAAGTACTAAAGACAATCATTGGTGCGCTACTTTATGGTTTGATATTCTAACGATTTTTTTAGGATAAAACATATTTTACCTTCGAGTTCATTTTAAAAAGAAGTTCGATAGGGAGCATTTTGCAGGTGCACGATGATGTAGTAAGGTTCTATATTGCATACATGTAGGCACAAATATGTGGACATCGGTAGTTTTATTTTTTTTACTTTTATTTTTTGTATTTTAGTTTTTTGCTTGAATTAGAATTTGATTAAATGCTTTTTCTCTAAAGAATCACATTACTTGACTGTAAATAGATATAAAGTTATGATAAATGCGCTCCTAGTAATTAGTATCTCTCGCTACTATTATTATTCTTGTTAATTCATTTATTAAAAATAGACCTTAAAGGTACATTTATCTCATATATGTCAGCTTTGTAAAAAACAACAACAAAACGATTACATGGAGAAATAAACTAAGTTTGTCAAGCTTTCATTGTTGTTACTGTATATCAACGTTGGTCACTGCAATGATCAGACTGCACTGGCCCTATACTGGTGACAGAGGCTAATCATGTTGGGGTCCAACAGGATAAGCATTAAATAAACAAGAGCCACCGCCGGGCGGGGGCAACGATCGACTTTTTACTTTTTCTAAACGCAAACATAGAAAGGTTTGAACATATCTAAACGTTTCCTTTTTTATAATTTATCTATTTATATATATATATGAATAGAAACACTCAATTCTATAAATAGAAACACGCAATTCTATCAATAAAAACATGCAATTCAATAAATAGAAAGACTAAATTCTAAAAATAGAAACATTTAATTCTATAAATAGAAACACGCAATTCTATAAATAGTAACAAGCAATTCTATAAAAAGCAACATGCAATTCTATGAATAATAACACGCAATTCTAATAATAGAAACACGCAATTCTAAAAATAAAACACGCAATTCTATAAATAGAACACGCAATTCTAATAATAGAAACACGCAATTCTAAAAATAGTAACACGCATTTCTATAAATAGTAACATGCAATTCTATGAATAGTAACACGCAATTCTAAAAATAGAAACACGCAATTCTATAAATAAAAACACGCAATTCAATAAATAGAAACACGCAATTCTAAAAATAGTAACACGCAATTCTAAAAATAGAAACACGCAATTTCTAAAATAGTAACACGCAATTTCAAAAAATAGAAACACGCAATTCTAAAAATAGTAATACGCAATTCTATAAATAGAAACACGCAATTCTAAAAATAGAAACACGCAATTCTAAAAATAGAAACACGCAATTTCTAAAAATAGTAACATGCAATTATAAAAATAGAAACACGCAATTTCTAAAAATAGTAACATGCAATTATAAAAATAGAAACACAAAATTCTAAAAATAGAAACACGCAATTTCTATAAATAGTAACACGCAATTTTTAAAAATAGAAACACGCAATTATAAAAATAGTAACACGCAATTTCTAAAAATAGTAACATGCAATTATAAAAATAGAAACACACAATTCTAAAAATAGAAACACGCAATTCTAAAAATAGTAACACGCAATTCTATAAATAGTAACACGCAATTCTAAAATAGTAACACACATTTCTATAAATAGTAACACACAATTCTATAATAAGAAACACACAATTCTAAAAATAGAAACACGCAATTCTAAAAATAGAAACACGCAATTTCTATAAATAGTAACACGCAATTTTTAAAAATAGAAACACGCAATTATAAAAAGAGTAACACGCAATTTCTAAAAATAGTAACATGCAATTATAAAAATAGAAACACACAATTCAATAAATAGAAAGACTAAATTCTAAAAATAGAAACACAAAATTCTAAAAATAGAAACACGCAATTCTAAAAACAGAAACATGCAATTTCTATGAATAGTAACACGCAATTCTATAAATAGTAACACGCAATTCTATAAATAGAAACACACAATTCTAAAAATAGATACACGCAATTCAAAAAATAGAAACACTCAATTCTATAAATAGAATCACGCAATTCTATAAATAGAATCACGCAATTCTAAAAATAGAAACACGCAATTTCTATAAATAGTAACAAGCAATTCTTTTAATAGTAACATGCAATTCTATAAATAGAAACACGCAAATCTATAAATAGAAACACGCAATTCTAAAAATAGAAACATGCAATATACGTTGTTGTTGTTGTTGTTGATGATGATGATGATGATGATGATGATGATGATAGATATGTATAAATATAAATATACACACACACACACCAATAAATATATAATTATGGTCATTTAATGCACAAATCTGAGAAAATTCAGTAATTTAACCTTCAAGGTCAAGGTCATTAAAGAGCCCAAGCAAATTTGGGTTTGATAAACAACAATGTTCTGTTATAATATGAAGTGGAACCCTTCAATAATAGCAAAGTTACAGTCAGTTACAGCCAAAACAATGAAAATTTCAATAATTTGACCTTCAAAGACAATGTCATTAATGAGTGAAGGTCAAGGTCTTTCGGAATATTTTTAAGAGTTATCCTTGAAGATTATTATGTTCAAGTTTCAAGACAATCCATTCAAAAATAACAAAGTTACAGCCAATAATAGCCAAAAAAATGAAAATTTCAATAATTTGTCCTTCAAAGTCAAGGTCATTTATGAGTGAAGGTCAAGGTCTGGCTGGTTATTTTTAAGGGATATCTTTGAAGATTATTATGTTCAAATTTGAAGACAATCCATTCAAAAATAACAAAGTTACAGCCAATAACAGCATGAACAAGCAAAAATTGGACTTTTAACCTTGAAGGTCAAGGTCATTTATGGATGAAGGTCAAGGTTAGTGTGGTCTACTGAAAGGTCTTGTCCCAAGGGTTGTTGTGGCCAAGTATGAAGACAATACACCAAGAAATAAAAAAGTTATGAACCAGGTACAAGTTTGCGGACGCGAACGGCAACGGCAACGGCAACGCCGACCCGACTATAACAATACCTCTACTTTTTTTTTCAAAAAAAAAAAAAGTCGAGCTAAAAACGAAAGTCATACCTCTGTAACAATCGTCGTCATATCATCTTCGAACACATAATTCGTACAGCTGCTTCCATTACTGCTACATACGTCAACTATACTATCATTATATATGTTAGCCAGTGACTCATTGGTTTCATATTGACCACTACCACACAAGAATCCCGGACTCTGACCTGCAAACGTCATAGTTATCATGCTCCACGTCGCCATAGTTTTGCCAACGTGCACAATACTTGCCAATATCCACTGATACAGTCCGCATCCTCCTAGGTCGTTAATCAGATCTTCCAATAAGACGTTATATGTCATACCTTATACTACTCACGCTGTTCTATCTAAAAGACAATCGCAGTAGGTTTGCATATCGTTATCTATACTATCCTTAATATAGTTATGCAAACAGGTTTACTTGGTGCCTTGGAATATTAATGTATTTTTCAAAATAAAAAATACATGTGCGATCTGAAACACTGAAACCGTTGATAAATTTAAATATTATTATTATTAATCGCGATTGAATAATAACTTTAAATGTATTCTGTTAAGACAATTATGACAATTGTGACAATTTGTGATTTTAGGCTTACCCACGTTGCACTAAATGCAATGGTCCGATGGAAATCACGCAATGGCACAATTGTAAACTATGATAACGAAATCGCGATAGCACGGCTGAAAATGCGACGGTCCGATTATGAATTCGCGAAAGAACGATGAACGATGGTAAAAAGCGAAGGTTGCAATTATACGATAGTGAAACCGCAAAAGTACGGCATAAAATCTGGATGGTTCGATGATGCATCACGTTTCGCCCTCGTACTATCGCAAATTCACAATCGTGCCAATATGTTTTCATCATCGTGTTGTACGATACAAAAACCGTGGGTCACGGGTTAGAGTAAAACACAGAGTCAAAATCGTCTAATGGAACACCGTATTTTTTTTTGTGTACACTCTATTGTGATATAGATTCTTTAATTTATCACCATAAAAGCAGTAAGTTTATTTCTATCGTAATAATATTTCCGTTGTCTTTATCTTACATGTTATCTTTACATACAGGAAACCTAAAAGCAGATTCACATACAGATGTAACAGCGTTATCCGACAATTTGATCTTTGCTGTAAGCAACAACTTGTTCATTAAGAACATCTTAATTGCAAATACTTTTTTAAAGAGGTCGCACGGTAAATCCGGACGCTTTTTGACAAGTTGACTTTGACAAAAATATTGCACATTAAAGGAAATTGATTGAGAAGCCAAAATAATCAGGTGAAAAGAAATAAGCATATCAGTAATCCTGCCAATTTATTAGTAAAAATCTTAACGTTTCGTTAGAAAAGCCTAAAATAATAATTAAAATAAAGAGGTTTATATATCATCCAGTTTATGCAGTCTTATAAAATTTTTTATAAACAGTGAGTCCGAACTACTCCTTTCTCGTCTATTTATGTCGTCTAAAACTTGTTCATGAAACATTATGAAATTTCTAATTGTCTTATTTCTAAAAGATTATAAGTAGATTCAAATGGAATTTTTGCTTTTTCGTTTTTTTTCTTCAATCACAAAATGATGGTATAATTCGGACCTTTTTTATTTTTGTCCTGATTTTTTCCGTAAAATTATCAGTGCTTTTGAAAATGTTTTGGTATAATTCTTTAAACATTTTAAATAAGTTAACAATATGGTACTTGTTACAGCCATGAAAAAATCACTATCTAACATTTGTTGTTACGTCATATCCGGTATGTTACAATACACGATCTGTTTGTATTTGATCAGAGACAAAATAAGTCAATAAATAAGACAACCAACCAACTTTATCTAAAGAAAAATCATTTAGTTATGTAGGATTAGCTATTCTCTGTCCGGGTTCCCCCAATGTCCGGATTGACTCGCACTTGCTCTATAGGTTACTAGATATTAACCTGGTGGTAGGTAGGTCAATGTAGCACATTGTACTGTACCTAAGATAGAGAAGTATTTGGAATATAAATTTAAGCTGTGGCTAATGATACTTCAATGACATAATTTGATAAAGTTCAAACTGGAAAAAGGACATATTCCATTATGTTACATAACATTTATTTATCTCACGTACACATGTTTTAGATTGTGATGTTTTATCGCTACAATAAAATTTAAAGGTACAGTATGCCTCAGAAACGAATAAATCTTAACTTGTTTTGGAAAACATACATGCATTTTTATACGATTGAATAATCGTTTAGAGCATATTATATGTTTTTTATCTGAAGAAAGTGGCGCTAAATGGAAAATAATTGTTATAAAAGTAGCAGAATGTAAACAAATTAGTATTTTGACTTCTATACAAAATACTATATCGTTATAAATGTATTAATTACCAAAAAAAAAAAAGAAAAGAAAAAAAGATGAACCAGATATTTGGCCAATGAGAAACTTTTTGGAAACAAAAAGCATTTGAGAAATAAAAGTAATGGCATTTCTTTGAATTTAATTAACCTTTAACTTCATTTCTGTTTAATTTATATGTTTATTGTCTATTTCAAATACTGATGAAAACATTCAGTTAATATTGAATAAAATGAAAAGCTTAAAGTGACATTATGCCCATCCAAGGGTATATAATGAGTGAACATGTGAATAAATAAATAAGTTTTCATTTTGCAATAATTCCTTTTGATTTAATAATTGACTTCGTAAAAAACAACAAATAACACACGGATCATAAGGAATTTTCTGTAAATATCCATTAGAATTTACGTGTACCGTTCAGTTATAAAAATAGTGGGGCAGTCTTTTTATATTTAAGGCAGATTTATAATTTACACCATTTTAACAGTCAATCTTTTGAAATAAAATGTATATTAAGCTCAACTTGACTATGAAAATATGAGCATAATGTTATAAAACAAATATGTAAAAGAAAAGAGAAGTATTACGTGAAAAGCATGTGAAAAATATTAACGTAATGGTACGTCCAAGCCTTCAAAGTATCTCCCTTTTTCTCGGATGTAATTTTCAAGACGCGGTATCCACCCGGAAAAATGCAATGCGGAAGGCTTCATTTGGTAAAGTGTTCAGGCACTTGGTCGAGATTCAAAGCGGCGATCTCTTATTATGATTTTAATATATGTGTTCAGCCTAAAAATGACAAAGAACAAGATGAGAACCGTATCAAATATGGTAAAGTTTCAATTAAATTGTCGCTGAAGTACGAACGAACCACGGCTGATTCATGGACAGGCGAGTTGTCATGGACGTGCTTCATTCCGCGGACATAGGCATATGGACGGGCTCTTAATAAGTGTTCAACAACTGCTTTGGTAAAGGAAGACGGTGACATGCTAGCTACTTTCTATATCCCCGGAAATCAAGAAATAGCTCATTCAAGATGCGTTTTATGGTATGAGGTATACAATTATTTTGACCTTCCATCAATTTCGATCTACAGTGTTTATTTTATCCTCTGACTCATAAATCCATGTTTCATTGTCTGTTACAATTTCTTTCATGTGCTTTTGGTGAGCATCATTGTACATATTGAGAAGCTTTGACGCTATTTGCATGCGCTTCCTCTTTTGGTACCCATTGAGAAATAGATGCAGAATTTAAAGGTTTGTCTGTTTATCAAAAACTGATGACGAATTAATGCTTCATAAATGACTTCTCCATTGCATGTGTAGCGGCCATTTCTCGACAGCTATTTTAACTACAATTATCATCAATTTTGGATTTGGCTGTTGCAGGACTCCCAGGTCAGGGCTTACCTTTGATATTCGTTGTGTCGGATACAACTCCTAATTGTAGCTTATGACAGGGTTCTATCCCAATTAACTTTTCTAAATCTTATTTGATATCAGGCGCGGCAAAGCCAAGCAATCCGCGCTCTTTGCTTATACGCAACAGAATCATGCAAAACGTGTGCTTGAACAAATTGCAAGAGAAAATAGTGTTTTTTTACAAAATCGTTTACACTTTATATAAAGACAAAAAAAACAACAAAAAAAAACAAAAAAACAACATGCTACGCGGCAATGTCGAGGCCATATTCCTTGGGCTAGAGCTTTGTGCCTTATAATTATTACTTTAAAGAAGATAATGCAAACTAATGCAATTTCGAATCTGCAACGCAATCAAGTAAATGGCTTTTGAGCGGTTGGTAACAAAAATGGTGTTTTTTACAAAACATTTTACACTTTATATAGACAAAGAACAAATCGTCGGTCCAAATAAAGACAATGCCACGCAGAAATCTGGGGGTCATTTTCCTCGGGCTAAAGCTTGTAAAGAAGGACTTCCACACTTATGCAATTTCTAATCTGCAACGGAAGCACATATTTGAAATGGAGTTTGAACTGCTGGTAAGAGAAAAATGGTGTTTTCACACTTTATATAGACAAAGAACAAAATAATGAAGACCATGCCACAATTTTGTACGAGTTTAAGCCCACTTAACTTCTCGACCAGGCCTTCCACTGTAGCAAAGGTAAAGTAAATATATTTAGATTCACGATTTTTTCTAAATGAAGTGAAAGGGGATTCCGACCGCTGCTCCTGTCACTTCATTAATGTGGTTTGTTCCAGCAAACGCTCCACAACCGCCAAAATGCAGCTCAAAGAATGACATAAACTTGTCTGGTAAAATTTCGCCGGTAACTCTGGTAGATGATTCGATCCATTTTCTAGAAATAGCCGAAGATTCACCCGTCCTTACTGAAGAAGCTTTATTATGATTGAATAGGAAAGCGAAATATCCATTTGGATTCCCGTCACAATTGACAAAAGTAAATTCCTTTCCATTTGATTTGTATCCCTGTCTGTCCTTTAACTGACTCCGCCCATTTTCAAGCTTCAGGGGATTTAGACCAACATATATGTATGGACCCATCTTATCATTGACAACTCGGGTATATCCTACGTGGGAATTATATTGCACTGACAGTGGACGAGACATATACCTTGTAATTTGCTCGATACGCGATTCATACTGGAGCCCATTTGTTCGTCTATGACGAATAACAACATGGGTGTTGTCGTTAGACAATGTTTTGATGTCGACATTCATGTATGTATCCGGTGATATGAACGTATATCCACCGGCTTTACTTATAAGACAATACACTACAAATGGCTGCATCCTGTAGTGCAACGTGTAAACCCCACTCGATGTTACACCGGCTTTAACCATATCCATACATGATGCTGAAATATTTAAAACATTTCAGTATATGTGTACATAATTTTCATGGCGTTTCTTCTATTCTAAAAAACTCAATACTGCAATACATCGTTTGTAAAGTTAATTAATTACTTAATTAATATGTTAGCATAATTTATTTATTATTTATTTGTTTGTTTATTTATTTATCAATGCTTTTGTTTTAGTTAAAACGATACTGTGAATGTCATATGGTGGTTTCTCCAATGGTTTGGGGTACTTGAAAAGCCCTCAATTAATTATTTTTGGACACCAGTATTACAATAGTAGAAACCACTGGCCTATCGTATGTTAGCTGGATAGCTCCCTTAAATTAAGCTTCCAAAGTTCCTTCCGTCTAGTAACGGGGTTCAAACTTAAGAGACAAGTACACTTGAACTTGATTGTATAACAGCATGCAATTTCAACATAAATCAATAATACATTACGGTATGGAAATGTTTTCTTACTTGCTTTATTTAAACTGTTTTGCATCACCTCTTCCAAAGCTTGATTAATCACAAGTCGTAGATCAGTAACTTCTGATTCCATTTTAGCCTTCATCCGTTCTACCGTCTGTAAGACGACATCGTGTTTTCTCTGCATCTCGTTTATGTCAAGTTCACAGCGGCTAGTCCGTGACTCAATATTATCCATCAATTTTATTTTCTCAGATATTTTGTTCATACAAGTATTATGTGTTTCGGATATTAGTTCAGTTACGTTTTGCAAACTTTTTCTTACAAATTCTTTCTCGTCAAACAGTCCCTGAAGAATCCGTGAAAGAAAATCAAATGATCGTTGTTCGTTAATGCTGCTTTTATAGTGAACATGTTTGGATGCGATTGTCGGAGAGACGTTCTTTGCTTTTGCACTGCATACTGTTTCCAATTTATTAATGTTAGTCCATACGTCTCTTATGTCTTCCTTAATGGATACGTAGTCGTTCTCATACCTTTGAATGACAAAATAATACCATATTACAAAGCCGAGAAATTGAGACGAAGCTCTAATAAATGACATCATTATGAAAGATATTGTGCAATGTCGTTTGGACATAAATTACAGAACTTAAGTATTGAATTGAGGTGTTCTGAAGCATGAACATGTACATACGAATGTATATATTTTTTCTTTGTAATTTGATATTTCTAGGGAGTTGTTTGCTGCCTAGTTTAAACTTTCCAAAGTAGTTTTGATGATTCTGGTGTTCTTTATGTTTTATTATTATAGGTATATGAGGAATTACAAGATGCTGCTTTCGTAAGATGTGAAGAACCTCGCATTTATCGCGGTTAAATTCCGTGCATTGCCCAGTCTGATGCATGCTTCCATTACACCTAACTTATGGAGATCATTATGTAGATGTTGAGCATCTGACAGTGAAGCAATTGTCAAGTAACCTAGAGTGTCACCAGGTATGAAACGGTCCTTATTTTAATGGATTTCGTAGGATTATTGATGTATGAAAGGAATAGAAAGGGGTCAGTTACAGAGCCCTGATTGACACCAGAGAGTAGGAGGATTTCCAAGAACTACATTGACTATTCAGGATTGATTTTTCCTGAATATACCAAGAACAAATCGACAATGAATACGATGACATAACTCTTCGTGAACTTTTATTAAAACTATGTGATTACATATTGAGTAGTTATTTCGTCTGCTTGTTTTGATAATAATGTGTTTAATCTAAAATCTACTCACCTTCTCTCAAGATTATCGACTTGTCGCTGAACATTTCGTCCGAATACATTGATTGATCCGATAATAATTAATATAAACACGAACAAATATGAAATTATCATTGTTTTATCATATTGTGCTTTATCAATAATAAAGTGAAGCTTTTGAAGTAATTTATGCTGTTAACCAACTATTTGGTTTGTTTTTACACAATAAACTTAAGAATGATGTAACTGCGTTGTTTTATACAACTGATTAAAAACATTAATTTATTGCAGAAATTGCTTAGCAGTCAATTGGGATATCCTGTCAACAAGTGTTTACGTGCCTCTACCACTTCATTATAACTTATAATAGCATACATACGCGTCAAAATGTTCTCAACTTGCTTAACGAATTAATTTTTAAAAAAAAGACAATTACTTATATACAGAACAATAAATCTTTTTTCTGTAATAATATCTATTTATTTACAACATTATAAACAATGATTAGACATACAGCAGTTATATTGAAAATCAAATACAACCATCAGTAATAAAATCAAAACGTTTTATTATATGTAATTAAAATTAAGTATTCACAAAGTGCTCATTATAAAACATTTAAACAAGATAAAAAGGAATTCCCCAAATACACGTTGCAATGTCCTCAATGTCTGTTAAAGAACACTATGTATATTTCTTTTATTTCTTAATTAGCACGGTAAATTGACGTTACATTTTGTGGTGAGCGGCTTTTAGCCTTACAACAAACATTCCATTTCAATATAGTTTTGAAAGCCTTTCTGAATTCTTTATTTCTGTACCCGTAGATGAGCCAGTTTACAGCCGAGTTGCAGAGACCTGGAACCAACGTGCATCGCTTCACGAATTGGTAGTAAGATGTGTTCGAAAATGTGACGATGACACTGAGGATAAAGTAGGGTAACCAACATATAACGAATGTCCCAAGCACGATAACCATTGTTATAACATGGTGCAAATCAACTGTCGCCTTCGAGTGTATGCAGAAGTTTTTATTACCTTCAATTTTGTCTCCCATTTGAACTTTTCTTAAAGCTATCCGTACTACTATTGCGTAAAATAGAAAATTTACTATAAGTGCACTGATAAGTTGCCAATCGCAGTTTTTTTGATACTCTTGTGGCCAAACAACATTGTGAGCACATTCTGTAGAGTTTGTAAAGTTGTTCACACCATAAAAAGGTACCGAGCTATTGATTCCTACAATTAACCAACCCAAAGATACCATGAATACCATCTTTGCTTTAGTTATTATCGTTTTCACTCGCATTGGATAATAGATAGCAATAAAACGTTCTATTGATATTAACAATAGATTGTAACACGACGTACCTAGACTAAGAACAAACATTCCAAGACAAGACAAGCAAACGTATTTGTTACTTTTCCATCCAAAAAAGTCCGACAGCATGTCTGTTGGTATCAAAATAGCACCGACAATTAAATCCGAAACTGCCAAATTTGCTATGAGAATGCGAATATTACTTCTTAACTTTTTAAACCTCGCAACGCTGTACAAAATTAGCCCATTTCCAAACACTGTCGGGATGGCTATTGTAATATACACGATGTGCCATACGGTATAATATGCTTCGTCCGCCATCTTCTATGCACAAACTCATGTGTGATAATAAACTTCACAAGAGCAGAAGCAAATGACTGAGTTTTATTAAAATCAGAGATAGATCTCCTCAGAGACCTAACCAGACGTGACTCTATATGAAACAAAATGAAGCTCTTGATTGGTCTCATCCCTAAATTTAATCCAAATAAACCTGTATCTGTTACTACGATATATTTAACAATCTGAACATATTCTGATTGCTTTTTAAACAAATAAAATGTAAGATAAACATCGGCTTCGTTGGTAGACGGGATCGGCTTTTGTAGTGTTGTCCTCTGTGATATGGCGGTAATCGATTAGTATTCAAACTGTTTTATCCACTTTAACGTCTGGATAGAAATTACCGGTATTCTGCAGATAGCCATCGGTATTTTAATAGCAGAACTAATGGTCTCCACGATGCGTATAATGGTATCATTGGCCTCCCGTAAATCAAAATTGTAAGCATTACAAAAAACTAGCATACATATCTAGTGAATTACTGACTTCAAAATTTATAGGTCAACTTTTGGAATGTAATAACCTTTAAGGACATGAATGGAGACATGTCGGGGTCCACACACACACGCGCGCGCGCATGTGCACGCACACTTTGTTTAATGAATGAACATGATATGCGACGTGTAGATGTATCTTCGTTTCTTCGTTTGCGCTTCAGATTTAAAAACATATAAATGTTCATTTCAGATTGTGAACATTATAATGCAATAGTCTTCTGAAAGTTAGCATAACGACTATATTTTGGAAGCTGTACATAATAAGAAGCTGAACAATCAAAAGCTTTTGAGAAATAAAACTGACAGCAGGCAATTGAGACATATTTGGCTTTTAAAGAAATCTGTTATTTTAAGCACTCATCTAACAAAGTTCTATTCTTGACAACTGATAAGTGTCCGTCTTCCAAGGTTATTATAGAGATTTGCCAGTGTAGAGTTTTAGTCCATCATTATTATGTTCAATATTCTTATGATACATGGCAGGAAAATTACATTCCATGTTAACATAGATATATATACTAAAAGTATAATATTCCCAAGTTAAAGGTATGAAACCATTGTAATACAAATGTACTTAATTGCTAATATCTTAGGCAAAGCGGAATCTAATCCTATGAAGGAAAAGAGTGCCAGAATAGCCGCCAATAGTAACGTTTACAGCATTGTTGAGGGTGTATGGATTTCCTGTCACACTGTAAAAATACCGTGCAACTGTTTCATCATCCAAGCTAACCTATTTAAAATACAATTCTTCAATTTAAGACATAATTAATATATATTCCCATAAATATTAGTGATGAATTTACATTAATAGAGTTAGGATGAATATTGTAAAAAATTAATAAATAACAATGACAAAGCGTTTATACGAAAGCCTTATAGTATCAAATAAAGTAAATTCAAAACTGTAAAGGCGTAGTAACACGAATAAAGGCGTTATAACGGGAATCAATGAAACAAAAGGCGAAGTAACGCTAAAAAAAAGGTGTAATAACGTAAATAAAAACGTAGTAACGCGAAACAAAAGGTGTAATGACGCAAAACAAAAGTCGTAATTACGCAAATCATAAGGCGTTATAACGCGAGAGAAAAGCCCTAAAAGCTTTATTAACGCTATTCGTTTCGCGTTACTATACGCATTTTACGCGTTATAACGCCTTTCCAATATTTCATTTTATTTCATTTGAAACTATCATGGGCTTTCGTATGTTTAAGATTTTAAATTATTATTAAAATGATAAAATCCGGTAACATTTTAATATTATACTGAACGGACTAATTTGTATCTCATGCAGAAATTAATAGATCGAAATAAGATTTTACTTAAAGAAAACTGAAAAAGGGATAAAGTTGATTGGCTGATATACAATTTATATGTAGGCCTATTATACCTTTACATAATCTTCGGACGGCTTCAGTGACAGTTTATAAATCATATTTGTGCTCAACGTAACATTTACGTGTTGAAAGTACTCGCCTAGAACACTTGAAACTTTAAACCTCAGTGTCAGTCTTTGCTTTCTATAATTAAGTTTCACAATAAGAGGTTTGTCTGTCATATTTACCAGGAAGGCCGCATTCATCCTGCAAAATAGCTGTTTATTATGTCTTATATGCAAATTACAACATGCATTTCATTCCCACCAATTCGTATCGGCTCCTCCTCGGTGGAATTTTCTACTTATATCATATCTGATATATATGATTGTGAAATTCGTTTCTTCTTTTTCTCTCCTTTTCCATTTTTTCTTTTGTTTTAAAAATGCAGGCAGATATAAACATATGACAATAAAGTACGTTAAGTACTTGTATGAATATGGTAATCCAACATTGTATATTTAAACATATTTTTATAAAAATGACTTGGCAAAAGAACTGTCTGAGATATGACACATGTAAACACTGCTGGATTTTTAAGCTACAATGTATATTTTATTTTATAATGTCAGTTTTGTATTAGAAACAGTATAACGTCATTGCCGTTTTTGGTCACCATCGCCGTCTAAATTTTGAAAATGTGTGTTTGCCTGGATTTCTACGGAATATGAAATACATATATGTGTACCTAGCTTAAAGATGCACGCCTCCAGATGAGCCAAAATATTTCAAGAAAATCAATGTTTAGAAAAATTACAACAAAACTTTTTAAGGAAGGTAAAAACACTCAAGATCCAAGTTATATTTTACATGTTATGTGCAGTTGGAGACTGCTTTTGCAGTATTTTACCACCATATTTCTACTATGTTACTAGTTAACGCACTAAGGGCTGTTTTTGCATATGCTGACCACATTTTGGAAATTTTCTTGCATTAATAGTGCCGATTGCAATATGTAAATTGCTTTATTTGCAAGTTCATCTCACAATATTTTTCATTTTAATACATTTCCAAAATTTTCATGAAAATTAACATGAATCTGGAGGCGTGCTGCTTTAAAAAGAGGCTTACAAACATTCTGTAGAGTTCGAGGAGAAGAACACATCTACCTGGCTCCCAGCTCCGAGGAGTCCTGGGATCATTATAGTGGCTGATCTAGAAGTTACATTCCTCTGAAATGAAAATTGATGTTTATTATTTACCACAATGATAGCACTGACGCTGCAAGCATGTACAATTGTAACCCTTTGTGAAAATGTGGTGATTGTAGAAGCCATACCCCCAGCCACCCCCCCACACCAAAAAAATACAGAATATCTAGATCAAGGATAACTGGTGGTAATGAGGCTTTTATCACAGGGAGCCGGATATTCCCGTCCGTAACGACATCGTTTAAAGAACACAGTTGACTCTAGTTTTTTCACGGAGTACAATTTCGCATTTTTACAGTCTTGTTTTTTCGAGAAGGAAAAAAATGACTACATGTACTATCAATTGAATGTAAATATCTGAAATCTTTTTTTTTTCATTTTTTTAGTGTGTGCGTGTGTAAACAAAATATGTGGTAGCGCGGGAAGAAAAAAAATTAACGCAACTGTATTAATTCTTTTATGGCTAATTCCTTTTTATTTCATGGTTTTCAATAAACTTTCCTTGTTTAAATAAAGACAATTGGCTGTTTAGGCCAACAACATCACACAAAACATTAAGATTGAACTGTTCCTTGACAAGAAACGTACATGAAAATAACTTCTGTTTTCCAAAGTTGTGTACCGAAAAAGTCTGAAAATGCTCATTATTACAGAGAAATTATTTTCTTGTTCTCATTTAGATTTGTTCTTTAAATACATACTTAACAGGATTATCTTATTTTGTGAAACATAAATCTCACTTACCGGAATTTGAAAGTTTAGGTCCTTCACTGCACTTGTCACATAGTCCATGTCTGTTAACATGGTCTTGTTCTCGAGCCATTCTCGTGCAAGAAATGAACATGTTCCAGATGCAGAAATGGTCGCACTTTCTGTGTGTGTCCACCTCAATTCTCGTGCGCATTGGAGTAATCTGTTTGCCGGATACTGCAAGCCGCTAGACTTAAAAGTGTATCCAGTTCTGACAAAAGTCACAGCGTGGTTATCGCCGATTAAAGCAAGAATAAGGATAATTAATGCTATCATCATTTGAGGAATTGTATTTATCATGTCCAGAATTAACTTTACGGACTTTGTTCCATAGCAAATGGTCTGTCGAATTTGATTATCGTGCTTTTGAAATTGTTTACCTAAGAACATTAGAACAGACAGCAATTCTGCTAAATCGGGTGTGAGATGGCTAGTCCATTTTAATTGATTTGAAACGAGAAATATTTACTTAATGGTTTGAGTAGAAAATTACAGGCATTTAACATGAAATTTAATTAATAAATTGTAAACAACTATGATCATCAATATTAGAACAATAAACAGATATTGATTCTTTTTATAAACGTTGTTGTTTGGATAATTTGAATCGTGCGGCAGATTATACCAGACTTTAATTAAATTTTATTAATTTTGAAAAATTCAAATTTATTTCAAATTATGGTGGCTAATTTTTGCCATTTCGTATGTCGTATACATGTAGTTGCTTTTTTGCCATGAAAAGGCGAAATCAGAAAGATGCGATAAAGTTTATATACGGCCATATAACCTGCCGAGAATCTTTATCATGAATTTATTCTCTCAGAGAGAGAGAGAGAGAGAGAGAGAGAGAGAGAGAGAGAGAGAGAGAGGGGGAGAGAGAGAGAGAGAGAGAGAGAGAGAAAAGAGAAATTACTTCATGAACTGACAGCAACCGGATACAAACGTACCATATTATAAAGTTCAGTCGCGTGTACATGTAAAAGAAGCGCACAAGCTTATTTCACTCAAAAATTGACCATTAAGGGGCCAGAACTGTGGGAGAAAAAGCGTAAAATCAAGACACTATGCACAACTAGGCATGGTGACAAACAATCCTGTGAAGTTACAATGAAATCCTCCCAGCGGTTTTGGAGATGAAGCGCGGACAAGCTTATTTAACTAAACAATTTGACCATGTAAGGGCCATAACTGTGCAAAAAAATTAAATCCTGTGAAGTTTTATTGAAATTCCCCAATCGGTTTTGGTGATGAAGCGTGGACAAGATACGGACGAACAGCCGGACAGTGTGATTACTATATGCCGCCCTTGGGGGGCATAAAAAAGTACATTCTACTGCCTAACCACTCAGTAATCATGGCATAATTTTGCTTTCCTTTGTCTTAACTGGTGCAGTGCAGGTGTAACGGTCGTTGGTGGTACCAGATAAACTAGTACAAAATTAAAGAGAAGAATTCTACTGGGTTAAATGAAAACTTACAACACTTACATGGAGCATGGATTTTGTCTATAACACAACAGGACGCATACATGTTTCCAGTGAGCTTGTATCTAGGATGATATAAGCTCGTTAAAACAAATTGAAACCGTAACAGGAGGATATAAAATACATTTGGAACAATAGTTTACGAGAATTTAAATGTAGTTAATTTTTACTTTGTGAGGAAGGACCATTTGTGCATAAATACGCCTATATCATATTTACCAGTAGGTTAAAATGGTACATACTTCAAAACATTAGTACACATATTAGGTCTCAGTACATAAAACTAACCTTTTTGTGAATAAATCATTTATTCAGGGAAAATACAATATACGTATATCCTTTAGCACTTTCAACAACAATAACTATAAAAATTCAATCGTATAAATATATCAACGTAAAACAAATAATTAACGAAATTAAAGAAAAATGTATAACTAGAACACAAAACACATATATCTCATGCATGGAGGTATAGCGTCTATAAGCCTTTAGCTTCCTACACATTGGAACTAATACTACAAGAACGCTGCTAAATTGTAACATTTTAAATTAATAAAGCCCCTTATATCAACAATTGATTGATCCCATGTTAGAGCCAGACAAATTTAGTATGGTTAGGCTTCATATACATTGGAACAAGTTCTGAAACTCTGAATGTTGTCCTTTACTTTTCAGACTGCAATGAAATAATAATAATAATAATAACACAATATCAGTATGTATAAAATTGAATTAATAGTTGTCTATATCATAATAAAAGTACATGACTTTTAACTTCAGCCTTCTGGCGACAAAAGATTCTACCCATGCAACCAGTGCTGACCAAGATCAGCTGGCACGTCCATACTGTTTGATTATTAAATGAACTGTTCTATATTTAGTCAGTAAATATTTTCAAATTCTCACTAAAAATGATAAACGGTTTGTCCAGAGAAAAAGATAAACAAGTCCATTTATAACATTCAACATAGTGGGTTAAAAACATGCTATAAAATATTATGTAATAAAAAATGCCCTGAATTGTAATAAACACAATTAATGTTAAACAGCAGTGTTTACCAGACATATCAAATGCTGGACTTACAAAAAACACTAAACAAATAGTTTAAATTTCACAATAAAGCAAAATATTCAAAATACAAAAGCATATTATATATTCACAAGTTTGATGAAAAACTTCTAGAAATATCAAATACAGGGCATGTATATGTATATACAATGTACATGTAAAAAAATGCATAAGCCCTAAATCTCCACCCCCCCCCACTAAAAATAATAAAATTAAAACTTAAGTTTACTTGTTTTATAAAATCTATGAACACAATCTTACAAATCTATAAAAACACTGTTTCCCTTGAAACGACTACACAAAAATCAGTATCAGGTACTTTGTACATGTATATCTTACACAGTATATTACAATAGATATGTACATCAACAATGTAATAAATTACACAAGCGTTACCGTAGCAAGTCTTTACACCATGTTCATATTATGCAAATAATGTCACATCATAATTATATGCACAGCCTCGCAATTCCATTTTTACTGACTCCAAAAGCAGCATATGCCTGTGATAAACTATGTTATTTATGAAATAAATATCTCTTTAACTTAAACATGAAGGTAAGCCTTGTAGCTGCTACAGCTAAACTCAACATTATTCTAACAATGGTAGTATATTGTCAATTTCGAAAGGCAAGTGATGATTTAATATTCCTCTCCTTTATCACTTGAATCCTGGGTATGGTGGGGGTGACTCGCGTGACTCGTCCGGGGGTGGGGCACTTGGTTGTAGTGGTGTATTAGGATTAACTTTCTCTTCTCTGTAACCTAAAATGATAAAATATATATAAACAAATATTATCATTAAAGATATACTACACTTAAAATTTTTTAATCACAGTAATTTAATGAAATCTATAAAATTCTTTTTCTTTGGGCTACATTAGAGCAAAGTCAAAGAAAATACCATTATCAAAGAAGTTCACATAACTATAGATTTACAGTTATAAGAAATATAATAATAATTCCAGTTGACAAAAGGTGTAGTAAAGACTTCTTGAAATAAAAAAAAAAATTAAAAAAAAGAAAGAAAAGAAACTAGTTTTTCAAAGACACTGATTAATATTACAATATTTAAGCTGTAGCATTTCCATTTATAACAATGGTTCCTTATCTTAAATGTAGCAAATGCATTAATATATCAGCCTATAATGTTACACATGGCTGAAATGATCTAAATTTCAGGGGCATCCGCTCAAGTAGTTTTTAAGATGGATGACTTCAAACCACTTGCCCCTCACCACCGTGGGTTCAATTCCCACCAGGGACTTTGGTTTCTTTCATGTGAGGAAGCTATCTAGCTATCTTATGGAATGTAAGTTGTTCAACTCAGTTACCCACTTATGCCTGAAATTTTGCATTGAGGGGCACCTAGAGTCTTCCTCCACCAGTAAAGCTGGAAAATTGCCATATGACCTTGACAGTATCAGGGTCACTAAAAACCAATAAAAAAATCATAATAATAATAAACAATAAAACTTAGAATTTTATATAGACTTTTTTGTTCAATCCGAAGATATAACACTAAGCAATTTAACAACCTATGTTAAACTGATATTTATCCTTTTTTTAAACAATATCATATATAATACTGAATGCTTCTTTACACTATTTTGAATGAGGGGATAAGACCCTACTTTAAACCTTTTCCTAGAGTATTGGGACATGTAAGGTAATATGTACATACAAAATATCAGTTATATGTAAAACAATTCCATCATACTACTTCAATTTATGTATTCATCTATATTTGTATGTTATATGTACCTCTTTCACTATCATGGTTTTGATTCTAAAATCCTCTTAAGCTTAACAGTTTTGTCAAAATTCTTAAAACAGAAACAAGTAATATAATGTTGAAAGTTATTCAATGTTTGACACAAAACCATTTTGATTATACTAACTTACTTTAGTCTGTGTTGGAAGCTATAAGCTTTTTGAAACACTCTTGAATCCGTTCCTATAACCAACCTGAGTTCCAAGCAATGCGTGTAAAGTTTCTTGCTCAAGGAAACAATGGCTTGCCCTTGACAGGGTTTGAAGTTTTAACCCACGCAGCCAGCAGTTCTTAGATTACTTATCCAATTCATCAACCACTCAGCCACGCCATCACAAAACCATTTAGGGTAGTATATATTATACTAATCTTATTATAAAGTGAGATAATGTTTTTGTGGTGGCGTGCATGGCCAAGTGGTTACTGTGAGTATATAAGTTAAAACATATCTTTTAGTATTGTAATGTACATACTGCTATCATCACCAGGGTACTGACTATCCCCACTACAGACTGTGTTATAATCTGGTGGCTCAGTTGAGGTGCAATTTAAGTTTTCTGGCGGTACATGAACAACCGGTCCTTCCAACATCCTCCTCCTGCCTTCATTCATTTCAACATTCTGGTTATCCTGACTCTGAGTCTGTTCTACAAATAAAGAAATTGTATACACAATATTCTTGTATAAAAACTACCCATGCAGGTATATATTTATGGAACAGAAACAAGCATTAACAGATAGATTCACATGACAATGCATCTTTGTTGCATATTTTATAATATGCATGATTCAGGGAGCAATGTTAAAACAGTTTAATACAATGAAGGCCCTGGTAGTTTCATTATCAAAACATTACTGTCAAATGATACCGCACAAGCACAGGGAAAGCATGAAAAAAATAGTTTCTAAATACAAAATACAGACAAAGAAATGAAGAATAACCAGGTCAGACCTGTACTTTTATGCCAGATAAGTGTAAGTGCACCTTTTTGTGCATTAATGCTCAGACTTATTAAATTACTTCCAATCCTTATGCTTCTGCAGATGATTATGCCTAAATAGGTGCATTAAACCTCTATTAATGAATTCACAAATAATAAATTATAAATCATTACAACAGAATCGAGCATTTATACATCACTAAGGTCATTATGAAAACTTAAAAAACAAATTTAAAGATCAGTGATGGTCCTTAATCGTTCATTTGCATAAAGACTTCCAAAGATTTCATTTTTACAGTCTACTTTTTGCTTATGTTACCTACTTAAGCATCAGGTTGAAACAACTAATATAAGTATTATGGAGGGTGACCTAAGGATCAATCCTGTGAAGTTTGGTCCAAATCCACTTTGCAGTTTTGGAAAAGATATGGTTTAAAGAATGTGTGGATAACAATGAACAACATAAGATGTACAATTTGCCATCATATAAGCTCACTTTTGTGCTCAGGTGAGTTTAAAAATTAAAACCATTAATTCATCAGGAAGGTCAGGAGATAAATTTTATATACTGTACATAATTATACTATAGAAAAGTGGTAAGCTATTTGTATCAAGGGCTTTACCTACTTTATAATTGGTTCAGTCCTTTGTTTTCTTCTTAATAGGTTTCAATTTAAAAAGTTTAAAATCAATAACTCAACCGTGTAGATTTCTAGTAAGACTTCATGAATATATATAAGGCTTAGCCTCACCTTGTACAGGTGGCATTAACAGGTCATTCTCACTGGCTACATTTAATATAGAGTTATTATAATCTGGTACCCCCACCATCCTTCATCAGAATAACAGAGAAAGTGTGAAACATGTAAAACAAACAAAATCAATAGTTATCTTACCTTCGTTTTCATTATAACAACAACAATAGAACCAAAAAGCTGTACAGAATATAAACGCCAGGACTCCTCCAATGATTATAAGAATGATCCATATAATACTAAAACCTGCCTTCCCTCTGCCAGAAGATGATACAGATGGTGAGCCAGTAGTCAACACTAATTTTGTTGTTGTTTCTGAAACACAAACATGTATTATGTATTTTTTATATATTTTTTTATGATTTTTAGAAATTTTAACTTCTTCTATATTATTCAGCAATATGACTATGTATATAGTCCTTAAAATGATACAAATGTTCTAATCATTGTTTGCTTACTGTATAGTACTAGTCCATCCCTTTGGCTCAATAGGGCAAGTAACAAACTAATTATCCAGGGACCAATTGTTTGATCCTTACACAAGGCGTAATTTCTCCAAGAAGACTAACTTTTAGATGAGGACACTTTATGACCAATAAAAACAACAGCTATCCAAGGGGCAGCATGCTGTACTTTTCTCAGCGCTGGATAATAAAACTGGTAATAGGCTAAAGAGATTATTAGTAATTGATTTTAATGACCTTATTGGAAACCAAATATAGACAACGCCCCCATGCGGGCCATGTCAATAGTTCTACATTTTCTGTGAACACTTTCTGCAAAACATGCCGAGCTTAATAAACATTACCTAATTTTTTTCGTAAGTAGATATCAAACTTTATATTAATGTCCTTTTTCATAATGTGAAGAGCTCTGTCATACATGTATTGAAAAAACACTTTCTTCTCACTAGTACATAGCGGCCTAAAGCTCGTACAATGGTGCATCTGAAATGGTTTAAAATTTAATCATTAATCCTGTGGAACCAAAAAATAGGCACTATGTGGTTCAAGAATGACTTAACAAGAAAGCCATGATGGCCCTTATATCGCTCAACTGATTATTGAGGCTCTGAATAAATATTGTTAGCAATGAATGAAAGGCAAATAAAATGCCATAAACTTAAATTGATATTATAACATTCATATCTGTATCCCCTATACCTGAAATTCATGTAGTGCGAATGTTAATAAGGTGTTTCCATATAAGTATGCCTTTTTATGTGCTGTGACCTTTTTGTCCTTAAATGACCCATATTCAAACCTGAACTAGAAATCATACAAACAACATTTCTGATCAATTTCCAGGATATTTGGGCTAAAAATGTAACCTCTTGAGTGGAAATAAAGTTTTTCCATGACACATGTTCAAAGTTGAGCTTAAGTTATCATTAAAACAACCTTTCTGAAATTTTCAGGTTATGTATGAGAAAAATATTACTTCTAGAATGTAAACAATGTTTTTCCATAGTTTTGGGTTTAGTGACCTGGTTTTTCACACCAGATAATCCATATTCAAACATGACCTAGAAACCATCTAATCAACCTGTCTGACTAATTTCCAGGATATTTTGACATAAATAGTGTTAGCAACATTCTCCCATATTTGGACTGTGTGACCTAGTTTTTGACCACAGATGAACTATATTTGAAGTTGAGCTAGAAATCATACAAACAACCTTTCTGACCAATTTCCAGGATATTTGGAACAAAACAAATAGTCTCTAGAGTGTTAACAAGGTTTTTCCATATTTGGGCTGTGTCAGAGAGGACATAAAGATGATACCATTTACCAAATATTAAAGCGCATGGCCTTGTATCTTCAGAAAGAAGATTGTTTAAAGATTTTACTATATGTTCATAATCAAAATCAATGAACCCCGGGCGTTCATTAAAGACTTTATCTTAAAAAACTATTTTTAGCCCTTCTGACCCAGATGCTCACTGGAGTAGAACCATTCGAACGATTTCAGTAGAGCTTCATGCTAAGGAACATCCCAGGAATATTTCATCAAATTTGGCCCGTTGTTTTCTTAGAAGAAGTCGTTTGTAAAAAAGTTGACGCTGGACGCATGGACGCATTAACAGACAATCATTGATGGACGCGGCTTAAAATAAAATGTGATCACAAAAGCTCACCTTAAGCACTTTGTGCTCAGGTGAGCTAAAAATATTACTGATTCTGTCAGTAGATGAATGATGGACTAGATTAAACAATGCAGATATTAAGTGTAAGTTATTTTATCTACAACATATAATAAAAGTAAAATGTGAAAAATACAGTGAATTTTATGAACTTTATCTTTGTACATTTGTATATATGTTATTGACTTTTTAAATTATTAAGGAATAGCATGCCTAGAATTACCAAGATATAACCCAGTGTTTACATATTAATTTAGGAAAGTTTACTTTCATGTTATAAAAGAAATACTTATTTGAGCAAGTTTGCTTACATGTTACATGTATAAAAGAAATGAAACATATAAGTTTGGTAAGACACTCACACTTGGGAAATCAAAGAAAGGATATGTGCCTATATATATCTTCAGACTTCCACAAGCTATATCCCATGACTCGTAGTCATAGTTTAAAATACATATCTCTAATGCAGGATTACTGTTATATGATGATATATTGAACAGACAAGAGTTTGCTCGTCTACTAGTGCCCATTCCTAGTTTTGCACCATAATAGTTCAGGTGAAGCACCCATATATTATCTATGTTCAAATTACCCCCACAGTTGTCTTTATTCACTTCTATAGTCATTTCTGAAAGAAAAATACAAATGTAAGAATATCAAGGTTGTGTAAGAAAAAAAACCCAAATACATTTATATATCATGTGTAGGAAAAAACCCTTATGCATTTATATAGCATGTGTAGGAAAAAAAGAACAAATGCATTTATATATCATGTGTAGGAAAAAAACAAATGCATTTATATATCATGTGTAGGAACAAAAATGCATTTATATATAATGTGTATGAAAAAACCCAAATGCATTTATATATCATGTGTAGGAAAAAAAATGCATTTATATATCATGTGTAGAAAAAAACAAACAAATGCATTTATATATCATGTGTAGGAAAAAACCCAAATGCATTTATATATCATATGTAGGAAAAAAAAATGCATTTATATATCATGAGTAGGAAAAAAACAACAAATGCATTAATATATCATGTGTAGGAAAAAAAACAAATGCATTTATATATCATGTGTAGGAAAAAAAACAAATGCATTTATATATCATGTGTAGAAAAAAAAAATGCATTTATATACCATAAGTAGGAAAAACCCCAAATGCATTTATATATCATGTGTAGGAAAAAAACAACAACAAATGCATTTATATATCATGTGTAGGAAAAAAAAAACAACTGCATTTATATATCATGTGTAGGAAAAAAACAACAACAAATGCATTTATATATCATGTGTAGGGAAAAAAACAACAAATGCATTTATATATCATGTGTAGGAAAAAAACAACAAATGCATTTATATATCATGTGTAGGAAAAAAACAAATGCATTTATATATCATGTGTAGGAACAAAAAATGCATTTATATAGCATGTGTAGGAAAAAAACAACAAATGCATTTATATATCATGTGTAGGAAAAAAATGCATTTATATATCATGTGTAGAAAAAAAAATGCATTTATATATCATGTGTAGGAAAAAACCCAAATGCATTTATATATCATGTGTAGAAAAAAAAACAAATGCATTTATATATCATGTGTAGGAAAAAACCAAATGCATTTATATATCATGTGTAGAAAAAAAATGCATTTATATACCATAAGTAGGAAAAACCCCAAATGCATTTATATATCATGTGTAGGAAAAAAACAACAACAAATGCATTTATATCATCATGTGTAGGGAAAAAAACCAACTGCATTTATATATCATGTGTAGGAAAAAAACACAACAAATGCATTTATATATCATGTGTAGGAAAAAAACAACAAATGCATTTATATATCATGTGTAGGAAAAAAACAAATGCATTTATATATCATGTGTAGGAAAAAAATGCATTTATATATCATGTGTAGAAAAAAAACAAATGCATTTATATATCATGTGTAGGAAAAAACCCAAATGCATTTATATATCATATGTAGGAAAAAAAAACAAATGCATTTATATATCATGAGTAGGAAAAAAACAACAAATGCATTAATATATCATGTGCAGGAAAAAAACAAATGCATTTATATATCATGTGTAGGAAAAAAACCAAATGCATTCATATATCATGTGTAGAAAATAAAATGCATTTATATACCATAAGTAGGAAAAACCCCAAATGCATTTATATATCATGTGTAGGAAAAAAACAACAACAAATGCATTTATATATCATGTGTAGGGAAAAAAAACCAACTGCATTTATATATCATGTGTAGGAAAAAAACAACAACAAATGCATTTATATATCATGTGTAGGGAAAAAACAACAAATGCATTTATATATCATGTGTAGGAAAAAAAACAACAAATGCATTTATATATCATGTGTAGGGAAAAAAATGCATTTATATATCATGTGTAGGAAAAAAAACAAATGCATTTATATATCATAACATTTTGGTGTATCATGTACTTTTGTATACTGTCATATTTTATATTCTAACATTGATGAGACAATAAACTACCGTATTAAACGTGTGAGGGGCTCTACAATATAACTTTATTTAATTTAATTGTTACTTGTTAAAAATCTTTATTCTGGTTGTATCTAAAATTACACCAACTTTTAAGTTATAAAGGTCAAATTGATGACTTTATTGCAAGTTTTACTGGTTGAATGAATTTAATTACCACAATATAAATAAGAATGCATAACATAAATATGTTAATATTTTTTCTTTATTTTAGATTATTCCTGTTTAATAATTTTTTTTCTGTTGACTGTTCATGAATTCAAATAGACAGGTCTTTTTGCTAATATGTATGATTCTTTTGATATGGACTTTAACTTATTTGCCATTTCAAAATGAAAAGCACAAATTAAGGTTGTTTACAAAAATTCTATTAAACTTGCAAATGTCCCTCTAAGTAACACTTTTATTAACTTCTTTTACATCTAATAATTATAAATTTTATAATATTAAATTTAACTAGAGCTATCACTAAATGTGATAAGCAAGACTGCTTTGGAGATGAGGACCTGGAAGTTACTAGTAACAGAATACCTTGTTGAAGAATTGAAATAGAGTTATGGTTGTGGGCAATTAAAGATAGTTGTGGTTCTTGTATGTTGCATTTCCTTTCACTGTGGTTAACCATTGATTAAGTTTTATTGAATTACTCTGTAATATGTCCAGATAGAGTTATGGTTTTGTGCAATGCACTTCCTCTTATTGTGCTTGACCATTGTATGAAGTTGTTTTGAATTACAACCAGTAGTTTTCAAGTTATGCTCCAGACAAGGAAAGTATCAAAGGGCAATAACTCTGTAATTAGTCAAGATGGAGTTATGGTTCTTGTGTACTGCACTTCCTCTCCATGTGTTTGATCATTTATGAAGTTATATTGAATTCAAACCATTAGTCTTAAAGTTACTGCACCAGACAAGTAAAATGGAATGGACCGTTGGACCGATCACCTGGTGACTCCTATATACACCCCCCCAAACTTTGTTTTGGAGGTATAATTCATGTAAATTATGTTACATCATATTTATATCATGTATATGCACAGAAGTTGCTATCCATACAGAAAACTATTATGAGAACAATACTGATTCTATTAGACTCAATTACACAGCTGAAAAAAGTATATCAGGTTAGTGCCTCAGCCATTATTGGTTTGGCAGCTGTGTTCTCATCCAATGAAATTCAGTGCTGTACTCAACAATGTATAATACACTTACACTTACTGGTTTTAGAATAATTAGTCAATTTAAACTGTTAATTACATGTACAAAATATATTTTAGGCGCATAGCTTCTTAAAGGTCATAAAGGTCACTTCTGCTGGGTCACATAATCTTTTTTCCATAAAAAATATTTAAAAACAAAAGCCAAATGAAATAAAATCAGAAATTAGACAGGAGCCTAAGAGCAAAAACATAGATAACAGAGATAGGGAACTTCCTAGTCAGTTAAGATATCATGTGTGCTTGCTATTCTTAAATCTTGTAGCAAATTAAACTTATTAACCAGACATCAAAATCAGTAAATAATACATTTTCTGACAGCTTATGCATTTGTCCATGGCTGCAGGTAAAAAATTACTGTTCCCATTTAAGCAAGAACCGGTGTGATGCTCCCCGAGGAGGTTTTGGACACAGGAAAGTATGCCTCTTGAACTTGAAGTGAGATCTATCTGCTTATAAAGTTTCATGTTGATATCTCTTATAGTTTTAAAGTTAAGTCCCTGACAAAGTTCAAAGTGTAAAAATGAACAAAGGGCAATAACTCCAAAATTAGGCAAGGTAGAGTTATGGTTCTTTAACACTGCTCTTTCAATAATGAGATCTATCTCCCTAACAAAGTTTCATGTTGATATCTCTTTTTGTTTTAGAGTTATGTCTTGGTTCTTTAGCACTGTACTTCAACACAATGAGATCTATCTGCCTACAAAGTTTCATGTTGATATCTCTTATAGTTTTAGAGTTATGTCCCGGACACAGTTCAAAGTGAAACAAGATTGCATTTGTAAAAAATGCTATGCCACCGCATAAATACAGCACTAAAATAGTAATGTAGGAACACATTTTTTTTGTTTTGACCCCAGGGCTTTAATTTGAATAATCTTGCTTAAGGTTCACTACACAATGTTTACTGCAAAATGTCTCACCTCTAGCCTTTGTCAATTCGAGAAGATGATTTTTTAAAGTAAAAATTTACTATATAAATGTAAGGAAAACCTATGACCCCGGGGCAGGGCTAGTTTTGACACTAGAGGCAAAATTTGAACAACTTTGGTAGAGTACCTATAGATGATATCATATACCAAATATCAAAGCTCTAAGCCTTGTACCTTCAGACAATAAGATTTTTTAATTTTTTACTATATGTACATAGTGAAAATCAATGACCCCCGGGGGTGGGGCCAATTTTGACCCTAGGGCTATAATTTGTTCTATCTTGCTAGAGGTTCACTACACAATGTTTCATGCAAAATATCTAACCTCTAGCCTTTGTCAATTAATTTAGAGAAGATGATTTTTTAAGTTTTTACTATATACATATGAGGAAAACCTATGACCCCCGAGGCAGGGCTAATTTTGACACTAGAGGCAAAATTTGAACAACTTTGGTAGAGTACCTATAGATAATAACACATACCAAATATCAAACCTCTAAGCCTGGTACCTTCAGACAAGAAGGTATTTTAAGTTTTTACTATATGTACATATAGTGAAAATCAATGACCCCCGGGGCGGGGCCGATTTGGACCCCAGGGTTTTAATTTGAACAATCTTGGTAGAGGTCTACCAGACAATGCCTTATGCAAAATATCTAAGCTCTAGGCCTTTTGGGTCTTTACAAGAAGATTTTTTAAATTTATTCTTATAATTCCTTTTGGTTGCCATGGCAACCACAATTCTGCATGGAATGAAATTCTTTGAACAACTTTGGAAGGCCTTCACCCAAGGATCAATCCTGCCAAGTTTAGTTGAAATTGGACTAGTGGTTTTTCACAAGAAGATTTTTTAAGTTCACTATATAATCTATATAACGCACACACACACACACAAACAAACACACAGGTGAATCGCTATATGCCACCGCATGGCAGATGCTGCGGTGGCATAAAAACAAAGGGCAATAACTCCAAAATTAGGCAAGACAGAGTTATGGTTCTTTTGCACTGCACTTCTACCCAATGAGATCTATTTACCTACAAAGTTTCATGTTGATATCTCTTATAGTTTTAGAGTTATGTCCCTGAAAAAGTTCAAAGTGTAAAAATAAACAAAGGGCAATAACTCCAAAATTAGACAAGACAGAGTTATGGTTTTTTGCACTGCACTTCTACCCAATGAGATCTATCTACATATTAAGTTTCATGTCAATACCTCTTGTAGCTTTAGAGTTATGTCCCAGACAAAGTTCAAAGTGTAAAACTGAACAAAAGGCAATAACTCCAAAATAAGGTAAGACGGGCAGCACAAAATACCCAAATACACCCAAATATTGCCCAAATATACCCAAATATTGCCTAAATATACCCAAATATTACCAAATTATACTAAAAGTAAATGTTTTATACTAAAAAAGTGCTGCTTTAATTATGAATACAATATACACTTTCACTAAGATATAATCAAACATACCCAAATATACATTTTCCTATCATTGTGTTTTGAACCAAAATACTGTATATGACTACTCCGTTAAAGCTATTTTTTTAAAATAACATGGACACTTGTATATGATATGAAATTTCAACAAAATTACACCTTAAAAATGTTAGTTAAGACAACAAATACAATATCCATATCTTGATTTAAAATTGCAAGTACATTCATAAAGAACCTATATAGTAGATAAGCAAATGCCACAACTTTATTTCCTTACAACATCTTAACTGCCCATTTCAACGGAATAAATAAAAGTTACAGTATAGCAGGCTAAGTCATATTATTTTATAAATGCTTATTTATTTCTCATTATAATTTATATTTTATACAAACAAAAATAAATAGTGCTATATTTGGGTATATTTGGGTATTTCGTGCCGCCGGGTAAGACAGAGTAATGGTTCTTTAGCACTGCACTTCAATGAAATCTATCTAACTAAAAGTTTTATGTTGATGTCTCATATAGTTTTAGAGTTATGTCCTGGACAAAGTCCAAAGTGAAAAATATACAAGGGGCGCAATAATTCAAAAATTAGACAAGAAAGAGTTACAGTTCTTGTGCACTGCACATCAACTCAATGATATCTATCTACCTACAAAGTTTCAAGTTTATACCTCTTGTATCAAAGTAATGTCCCTGTATACTGGGCTAGCCATTATTTGTAAATATAGGTTAAATAAAAAAATCGTGATTGGCATGAAATAAAAAAAATACATAGAATGTTAGATACCTGCTCTAACATGATTTATAAAGATGATCAACCCAATTAAGATATGGTGTCGAAATAATGTCATCATCAAAATCTGTATCCTCGAGTTACCCCGACGGTAATGATTTCTTGTTTTTAAAGTTTCTTGTTTGTTTTGCTTCTTGTTTCAAAGTGAACATAAGACTTACTGTCATAACTGTGCTCCTCTTAGTTTGTGGTATCGATACTTAATTTAAGTATCGTTACCACAATAATACTTAATACTTTTATAGCGAGCTCGACGAGCTGGCCCGAAGGGCCTGCTCGCAAAGCGAGCTTTACGGTAACGCGAGTACCTGCTAAGTGATGGTTTTGAAAACTTTCGTCCAAAGTACCGAATTGGACACATCGCAACCTTCGAATTTAAAGATAACGATAAAAACTGAGGAATTCTGACTGAAAACGGATGTGTAGACTGGTCACCCGCGCACGTCTATGGGAACAATAATTGGATAGGGAACCAGAATAACGGAAGCTGTCGATAAAATATCGAATGACAGTTTTAAAATGGAAATGTAAAATGAAAATTGAAGGCGCCATTTTGTTTGAAAAATTTGATAAAAGAAAAACAATTTTTTGTCGTTTTTTGTTTTGAAAACTATCTAGAATGAAAGAAAATGGTCTAACTAAGAAAATGAATCCGAACACCAATATCTTTTATTCAGTCGTTAACGCTGTACAGACGTTTAAAGTATTGTTTACGTGACGTCACAATGTAGCGCCAAACAGCACGTGCAAAACAATCAAGTCAAGTACGCTATTTTAATGTCGCATACGTTTTAAGTTTTACATTTATTTCACTTTTAATAATCTTTATTTCGCTTGAAAAATTATAGAGTGAAATAAAATAAACGAAGTTTTATCAACGTTGTCAAAACTCGTTATTCATTTAACGACAGGGGCGGAGCCATATTTAACACAGTACATGTAACGTCACACGCACTCGTCACTGCATTTGAAATAAAAATGAGCGATTATTTCATACTTTTTCAGTTAAAAGTACATCGAGCTCGCTTTGAGGCTTTGCCTTTTTCATATTATATTTTCTTTTATACAGATTGTTTGTTTGAATTGTTATAGGATAGTCAGTTATGTCGGAAAATAGCTTATATAGCTAATGTTTATATGTTTTTATGAAACCGACTATAAATAAACTTTAAAGATTATCTTATCTTATCTTATTCTTACAAACTAAGAGGAGCACAGTTATGACAGTATACCTTTATAAAAAGACAGTGATTTTTCGGTTTTATAAAAGAAAGGGTCATAAAAGGAATTACTACGTTATCCTTCTGACCATTTAGAAAAATGTATTCTGTAGTGAATACTCATTATTTGTATTGTAGCCGAAATATATACCAATAATCCGAGTACTATTCACCTATCTTCTTTGTGAAGAGTTACTATCTGTAACAATCGGAACGTCTTCGGCTATTTCGAGTTATTTCGCCCCAAAGACATTTCGGTCCTAATTACCCAAAATATTTCGGCCCGGACCTTTCGGCCCTTTACCAAATCGGCCCCATTTTTAGTCTTAGCTTTACAGTATATATATATATGTGTTTTAAAGCATTACAATAAATAGTGAACAAATAAATGAACGAATGAAAAAACATACAGTTTATTTCAACACTAATTTGAAATGAAGAATATTTGAAACATGTTAAAATCAAATTAATCAATTGATATATACCTGAAATAATGTACGGAGGGACACCTGAGCTCTTCTTTCACCAATAAAACTGGAAGGTCGTCATATGACTTTTATCCTGCTACTGTCTATATCATCAGCTGGATAAAGCCTTGCCGCATAAACTTATCTATCTCCAGTCATTACGTCACATGATGACGTCACGTGTTTAGTAGCAAAACAAAACTACGTATAGATGCTATTTTATCGGGGAAAAGTAAGAATGAAACCATTTAATTATTCTAAAAACATGATAAAAAGCAGGATAAATCAAATACATGGTTGATGTCGGTATGGAGAAGGTTTATCCGGTTCGCTGCGAAATTAAGTGAAAGATACACTTTCTCGCTCACCGGATAAATCTTCTCCATCCCGACATCAACAATGTATTTTCTATATACTGTGTTGGTGCGATATTAAACCCAACAAAATAAATAAATAAATAAAAAAATAAAGTATTATAATTATATGTGTTATCTTTTATAAAGCTTTGATGTTTGCCAACATGACTATTGTATTGTCATTATAAGCTACATTCATTAAATAAAGAGTTTGCTGTTGTTATTAATTATCATCCTAATTAATTTGTAAGAGTGGGCCAGTCCTTTTTTATTTTAGGTAGTTTTTATATTTTATCCCGAAAATTTTTTTAACTACCAATCGCCATTATTTTAGACTATCTTTTGGAATGAACAACTTATTAATTGATCTTAGTTTGACAGTGAAAAAAGTAAGTATAATGTCACTTTAACTTGTCGTATTAGCAAAGTGAATTAATATAATTATTAAAACATTAATTCTGTATGGCTTTTCAACTTTCTGGTATTTACAATTTCCCGCAATGTACACTAGCTGAGTATCCCATAATGAAATTTTGCGGGTTGCGTTACTCCGCCTTTCATTGCTGATCTTGTCTACCATACTATTAACAAAATAAATTTTAATTCAAACGAAGTGAAAAGACTTTTTTCGATTATATTAAGCAAATATCTAAAAATAATTAAGTTTGCATCGATTAGATTTTAATAAGCAATTATATCTATTGAAAATTGTATTGGTTTCATCTGTAAGCACCTATTGATTTATCAGTTGAGACATACTTAAGTTTTTTTTTCTCAATAATTGATAATTAAATAAAAAATATGATAATGTCACAGATTACATTGCATTTTTATATAGCATATTGCTAGATCGCTCGCAACGAGTTTTCAGAACATCTTCGTTCAGAAATGTTTGAAATTATGTTGCTTAACTTACTAATTGTTTTGACAAGCAGTGGCAGTTTGATTGCACAATACCTTAATATCTACACTGTACCGGTGTCGGAATCGAGTGCTGGAGATAAATCATTGCAATGTGTTCGTAAGTTAGTCAGAGAACAAATTGAAAGCGCAAAGATATCAACTGCCGGGGAATGCATCCCATTGTCAAGAAGTTGGCTTGAGACGAGAAGTTTTGACCCCGACTTTACATATGTAACAGGAAAAATTAAAGATCTACAGTTTCAGCCTCCGGTAAGAATTATTTTTTTCTATGTTTTTTTTTCTTTTTCAATAATTTGATTTTCAGTTTTCCAATTCAGATATTATATACGATGCTGTTCGAAAAATCTGCTTTCTTATGTTATTAATTCAGGCTGGTATCTTTAATTTAAAATTGATGTTTTATTTTTGTCGATAAGGTGCTTTGTTTAGGAAATAGATATATCAATTTTGAGTGTATTGTTGACTTGTAGAATAATGCAGTTGGAGTTCAAATGCGCAAGAATATAATCACGAAAGTCTTGCATTTTTATACTATAATGCAAGATAAATTAATATCTATTTCCATTCTAACATGCTAATAAAAAAATAATTGATAAAGATACGTTAAACTACATTGAGGTTACTTATTTCTCTCTTTCATATTGCAAATCCGACTCGCGTTGATCTCACCAATGTGTTAATATCACAGATCTACATCAACTTTTTCGTGATAGTATTGTTTTTAGTGAATTTCTTTATTTCATGTTCTTTCTTAGCGTAACTTTTGTTTTAGGCAGTTTTTACTTACACGTATACTAATTGGCAATGTTTCGTCAGTTTTTTAACACTTTGTTATTTTGTGTTTATTTCATTAATTAAACTTTAATGCAATTGGTTGGTCAAATTATATGAGAAGAGAGTCCAAAATTACTCATTAGTAACTCCAGTCGGTAGATGGAAATTGTTCTTATTTGCATTTGCATATTGATAAATATACCAACCAAATTTATAACCTACCTGTAATAATAAAAGATTTAAGATCTTTGTCACCACTAAAACAACGATAATACGATGTGAATAATTTTGAAGACTGTTTAACAAAATCTATACTTCTTATTCGCCATTAACACAGCATATAAACAAAAATTGCTATGTTATCGTTTGCAATGTTATTGAATATGAGCATAGTCCAAAGGCGGATGTATGCTCCTTTTCTTTTTCTTTAAATTGGTTTCGTAAATACCACTGCACAAACCATAATTATATCACTTTCATTTCTAGATGCTGGTAAATACAAGTTCATATAAGTCGGAACTACCTGGGCTGTTGGGTGTTGGTAGCTCAGTAGACGTATCGTTTTCATTTCCTAGTACAGATATTAAGTAAGTATGTATGGATATTTTGTGCTGCAAAACAATGACGTTATACCATTGCCAGTATGTCTCTATATGCACTAGTCGACCTGTATGACATATATGCATGACGGTTTATCTTGTCACTCGTAAAATCATATTTTGATTTTATGTCAATGATTTGTAATCCTACAATCAGATTATGTCCAGTTGTAATTATAAAGTTGAAATACAAACGGAAATGATAATAATGACTTACTGAATGTTTATTGGTTAATTTTGACGGAGTGTTGTTTTTAGGGACGCATTTTTGCAAGACACACGAAGTTGCTACGACTGTTTCCAAAGAATCGAACGTTCTTTGTAGTTCAAAATATCCCATTAAAATGTTACAATGAAATTGATGTAGGCTCATCAATTTGAAAACTCGACTATTTTATATATATTAGCCCACTGTGATAACTATTTAAATAAAATTTCTTAATTGTTTATTATGAAATTTTTGCTCTCGCAAAAGTGGGAAAATATTTCTGTCCTTGTTATTATGAGTATTTAGTTTAGGCCATTTATTTAAGATAAATGATACTGATTTCTGTAGTCTTTTATGAACACCAATTCATTAACGCTCATTGTAAGATTAGGTTATATGAAGAAAATATTCAAAATATTTCAAAGTCTTTCAATTTCTAGGATATATGTGCTTCTTTCAATGGATGGTGGTAATGTTGCCCTTAAAGTTATGATAGATATTAGTATCCAGGAATTGAAACTTGACCATAAGATTGATGGCGTCTGGCAGAAGGACTTTGTTAGAGCTAATATTGTGCTGTCAGTTGACACTATTCACAAGCTGACCATCAGACCACTGGAAAATGGCACTGACGTATGTAAACCATACATTATGTGATTTTGATTGTTTTATCATGTTGAAAATTGTCAATATCATAATTTTATATGATATCGATATTCCAAACGGCAGCAGTGTCTTAATGTACAAGATATTGAAACGAAACTTATGAATCATCTAAACTATATGAAATTGTACTTTATCAGCCACTTTTTACAAACCGTGTGTTGTATAAGTCGAAATGTATTACTGTATATCTGGTCTTTATTCTACATTTTTCTAGAAGACAAAAGTTTAGAATATGAACAGTTAACTTTTACAATTTGAAAATACAGTAAAGCTTTCAGTTAATATATTTCGAAAGCTTTTTTTATTATAAAGCTTTTCTATGATAAAGATGACCATCTCGTGTGAAATTTTCTTTTCTTTTTTCATACATGTATATTATTACTTTTGTAAAAGAGGAGCAAACAATTAATTATCGAAAAGGAAGCTAGCCTTGCGTTTTTCACATGTAGCAGATTTTCAGACAATGGACATTTACTTGTACATATGTACTTAATTTTCAAGGATCATTTCTGAATTTACACTATTGAGACTGGCATGAATGTAATCTTGAATCTTGAATCTTATGTAATATTTGTATGACAATAGTCAATAACTTTTACAATTAAATTTTAATGACAATTTATGTCTATTTGTATATATAATGATAAAAAGGCTGGTAGAAATTTATATATATTTTATAAAAAACATAATCTTTATACATGTACATCTAAATGATATCGCTGAAATAGATTTGACAAATTATTTAATTTATTTCTAATCATCTTCAGATGTACCTAAACGATAATCTGATTGTGCACTACAACCATCCAGACAATCCCTTCACACCAGAAGATGCACAAAGGATTCTCATTAGCACAACTCCTAACAGTGGAAACCTTCATAGACTAAAAATTGTTGTGGTTTCTTAAAAAATAAAACGTTCAAGAAGCTACTTTATACTTTTATGTATAATTGTTACTACTACTTTTTTCAACCAAGACATAGTTGAAGAAGTTTTAAAGTATTATCTAAAGGTAAATAAGTCTGTGGTCCATTCAATATGTTGATTTATCTTTTATACATTGATATAAATCATCGAATTTATTTGCAGGAAGATAGCAAATATCACATTGTTTTCAATGCTTGATAATTGTACACGATGGAACCAAAATAAAACCTTGTACATATCCAATTATTGATTCAAAACTTTATGTTAGAAATAAAACACATACATTATAGTGCATAATAAAGTTTTTCTCTCTCAATTTTGACAACTTTTAAACAAACATACATTGTATTTTGTTTAATAAAACTGACTGCCAGTGTAACATTAAATTTGACACCTTGGAAAATTGACTCCATGGGCCATTTTTTCAAATTTCAACCCGGCTCACTTGAAGCCTAAAAGTGTATACGACCTTTGTTGACATTTTTCATTATGTTGATAAACATTTTCATTATACATGTATCTGCATGAACATTTTATGTGTGTATGTACCACACAAAAATCCGCACACATTTAATATTACTTTTATAAATATATTAATTTTATTTACTGTTAATCAATATCAGATTAAAAATGATAAATGGTTCTGTAAAATCACGATTACAAGAGCTTTTTTTTTAAAATCAACGTTAGATCTAGACCTTCTCGTTTTTACTAGGGCAAAAAATTGGTCTATATCTAAACGATTATAAAGTTAGAATTTCCAGCAAGGAGTCATTAGTATGATACACAGAAATTATAAATTGGACCAATTATTTGTTTAAATTTTGGTGATTTTAGGACATCTAAACCTCTTAGTATTGTGTCTTATTTTAAAACTAAATCAGATAATATCTATAATAATCCGAATGTACGAGTAAGTCAAACATTGTAACACTGCCTTCTAATGCATTGTTGCATATAATTATTATAACAATGTCCAATACGAATAAAAATAGTTAAAAATATAAATATAAAAATTCTTAGAAGAGGCATAGAGAAAAAAGTAAGTCTGGTATCTCCCCCCCCCCACACACACACAAATATTACTTAACATGAAAAAAGTAGGGCCTACATTGCATACACTTGATAACACAAACTTTATGAAATGCTATCTTAACAAGGAAAAAATAAAATGTCCGTTTATGTACATAGATAAGAAATAACAAGAATAAAGATCAACAAGGCAAAGGCAACGTTCACTGGACGCCGCCCCCGGACACACCCAAGAAGGACACCCAGAAGGCACCAAACAAGTACCTGGAGTGGACACAAGGGCGAAAGGAGCGGGACATGTAATGTGAAATAATATAAACAAAAACAGGCCCATAAGGGAATTAAAGGGAAAAGGACTGTACGGGTGAAAAGGTGGGGGAGGGGTTAAAAATGGAAGGGGGGGGGAGAAAATACCTACCGTCAACGACAATCCAACAAGACAGACATAACAAAACATGTAAACATCCAAAAACAAGTAACAATACAGACAAGAAAAACACGTGAAGGAACACAAAGGGGTACCGCCTTGGAACGGATAGTGGTAGTTAAACCACTTGGGAGTTTAAACCGGTTTTAGGCGCGCCAAACCTCACTCTTAGCCCCAAAATGTTCCTGAATGACACACGAAAATGTATATAAAATGAATCCCCGCCAAGTGAAATTCTAACAATGGTCATGGTTACATTAGACGAAATAAATAAAACACATACAAAATTATATAAATATGTAGAAAAAGTTACTGCCTAATGACCATTACCAAAGTACTCGATGCCTTAAAGGAAGGCAGAGCAACAAGAAAATTACCTACAAGGGCCCGACGAAGCAAGGCAGAAGACGAACATTAAGACAATTCAGTCCCCAAAGGGCTTTAAGAACTGTCCATCATAGAGTCTCCCACTTGGTCCGTCAGATGTAATCAAAAGAGGAAAGCGTAGCATCCAACTGTAAAAGGGTTGAACACCAAGCATGCGGTATGCCTTAAAATAATTGGGTCATAACCTCTTTTAATAAACCGTTTGATAATTTTAGTGAAGACGGCAGAAAAATTACTATGACCCATGATCCTACGAAGTTTGTAAACCACATCTCCATAGAAGTCAGGCTTGGTAAAACCTTGTCGTAAAAGAGTTTTTAAATTATAATTAAATTTTAAAACTAAGTCTGAATTACGATGGTAAATCTTAATAAAATATTTACGCAATTTATGATAGCGATAACCTTGTTTAAGAAGTTTGTTAGTAATAAATAAATTGCGTTCATTAAAATCATCAACATGACTTCACGCCCTAGCAAATCTAATTAATTGAGAAATATACACCCCATATGATCACCGTAGGGAACGTGTTACAGTATCGCGTTTTTCGGTTACAGTATAGAATTTTAAAGATGGAGGATTATTTGTTGGGAAGAGAGGTAGGTGATTTTTATTCCGGTCCATACTACAAGTAGTTTAGTTTCTAAAAGATGTTTTTGTGCTTTGCTTGTTAGGAACAGAATCCGGTATCTAGTCATATATTTCTTCAGACCCTGCACCGCAGATTTATCGCTATATTGTCTCATAAATTTGCAGATTTGACAGTTTGAAAATTTGAATCGAGAGACCAACGCATTTTTCTGCAATTTCGACATTATTTATGCATGCCTAGAAAAAGTAAATCTGCAAAACGTTAGTCCTTTATGTTAGGAAACGTTTATAAAAGTAAATGACCAGTTGAACCTATTTTCCTGTTGGTAAAATGCGTTTGAAAAAATAAACAATGTTACAGTATAGAGCGAGATAATTTGTGCAGGGTTACAGCATAGACCTAGCGACTTTGATCCAATTTTGTTACAGTTTCTACCCAGATTTCGGTTACAGTTTAGACTTCGATATTTTCTATATAATTATACTAGGTAAAATGTATGAATGTTACATAGACTTTTAAATCTCTGTGAGCTTATTGGCACGATGGCTTTTCGGCCGTCTGTCGTACACATGTGTGTGCAATCTCATCCGCTCAGTATAACTACTTGACTAAATGTGATGAAATTTACATGACTTTCTACCAATTAAGTTGTTCAAATGGTTTCGGTTGCAATCGGGGATACGAAAACCCAAAACATAGATTTTGAAAAAAGCCAATGTTTAAAGACCCTTCTCATCTCGAACCAAAAACATTCAAATCAAATCATGATCATGGCGTCATTTCGAATGCTTCTTTGTTGAAGTTACGATTATTTTGTCATTATAAAATTAAAAGTCGTTTTTTTTATTTCAGACATCCTGTATAGCAGTTTTCATGTTTCTGAAAAAGAAAATAATATTGAAAGTTATAGAGTATAAATTAAGGTCAGACAATTACAATATCTTCTCTAGTGATGGAGGTACATAATAGTGGCAGAGTCGGGATAAGGCCGTCGACTTCAAATCATCTTTCATTTACTGCTGTAGTTGAAATCCAATCATGACTTTGGATTCTTTGTATGTGAGGAATCTATCAAGCTAATTTACGGAAGGTCGGTGGTTCTAGTCAGGCGCTCGTGTCTGAAATGTTTCACAAAGGGTATCTGGGGTCTTTCTTTACACTAAAGCAGGAATGTTTTCACATGACCTCAGTGTCGTTGAAACTTAAAATCCAAGAAAGCCAAACGTAACAAAATAGAGTTAAACAGAATCCCTAAAGAAATTCCAACACAACAAAATTGAAAATGTTCATAAACCCTTTTAAATACTTACAAAATACATTATGGTAGATGGAAATTCCAACTTAAAATAGAATTTAAGGTTGCAGTATTGCTCACTTAAATACTGTTTAATCATTCTTAGGGTATTGCCTGATTGTTAATTGTGTCTTTTGACAGCTTATCTATGGTATGCAGGCTTCATAACCGCCGATCCCCTCTCAAAATTTCATTTTGTTTAGTTTCACTCATTGTATTCTCGTTTATGGCACACGCAATTTTTAACCTGGGGGTAATATGCCGCTTTTCATAGAATGGCAATAACGTGTCACATTGAAGGTTCCATGATAACCGCCATATGAACACATCCACAGATGTTAAAAAATCTGAAGTGTACAAGTTCATATATAATGTGAATTCTGCTGAAATCGGTGCTAGGAGGCGTGAATGGTAGCTTGCAGTTACCACTACCGTCCATGAACAGGTTTAGTCAAACTGAGCCTGCAACATTTTCATGTTTTCCGTGTTGGACTTCTGTTAAGGATTCTTTTTTCTCTATTTTATTACTAATAGGCATTATTATAATGTGTAATGAAATCAAGCAATAATCTTTCTTCTCTCATTACAATTCGATAAAAGTTACTGTTGTTGTCGTGAAAACAGTCCTTACTTAGGACATTACTTATTCTGCAAAAAGTCTCAATCTGAAACTTAAAGTAAGAAAAATAGCAAACTATCACTTTTCTGCTGAAGAAAAAAAGTAATACAACCTTTCAAGAATGTATTAAATAGAAAGGTATGAGTTATTTCATAAAAATAATGGATACACGAACTTTGTTTGAAATTTGGCAAGTATCTAAACTGTAACCGAAATCTGGGTATAAACTGTAACAAAATTGGATCAAAGTCGCTAGGTCTATGCTGTAACCATTCAAAATTAACCTCGCTCTATACTGTAACATTGTTTATTTTTTCAAACGCATTTTACCAACAGGAAAATAGGTTCAACTGGTAAAACGTTTTATACACGTTTATAAACGTTTCTAAACATAAAGGACTAACGTTTTGTAGATTTACTTTATCTAGACATGCTTAAATAATGTCGGAATGGGAGAAAAATGCGTTGTTCTCTCGATTCAAATTTTTAAACCGTCAAATCCGCACATTTATGAGAGCATAAAGAGATAAATCTGCGGTGCAGGGTCTAAAGAAATATATGACTAGATACCGGATTCTGTTCCTTACAAGCAAAGCACAAAAACATCTTTTAGAAACTACACTACTAGTAGTATGGACCTGAATAAAAATCACCTACCTCTCTTCCCACAAATAATCCTCCATCTTGAAAATTCTATACTGTAACCGAAAAACGCGATACTGTAACACGTTCCCTACGGTGATGATGTAGCATGAGGTACATCTCCATCTAAATGTGGATAGTTAACAATATTAAAATCAAAATCATCTCTTTTATCGTAGATTTTAGTTACTATAGTATTGTTAATGATAGAAATGTTTAAATCTAAAAAAGATGTAATAACGTCTGAAGAGTTAGTTTTATTCAATTTAAGTTCACTGGGATATATTTTAGAAACCAATTGATCGAAATAAGGATTATTCATGTTAAAAATATCATCTAGGTAGCGGGAAGTGTTGTTAAATGCATGTATAATTTCCTGATGCGAAGTAGGGGAAAGACTTAACATAAAATCCCTCTCATAGCA